AGTCTTGTGTCTGTCCTGGGAGATAATTGAATTACTTCTCAATTCAATCTCCAGGATAGAAGACTCTGAAACTGGTTTGGGCCGGAAAGCCATGCTTCATTTAGTCACAAAGGACTTTCCCTTAACTTTTGAACCCCTGGTCTGATTCGTGCCATTTTTTAATATGTTGTTCCCCTGAATGGATTGATTATGAAAATGTATGTTTTATGTTTGTGACATGTATATTTTAGAAGTTATAAATATTGTGTAAAAACTGTATTCCTCTGCCGGTGATAATGAGATTACCCATTGTGTTCAGTAATCATATCACAGGCAGAGGGGAGGATTTTGTGTGGGAGTGTCTGGGTGTATTGTATTGATTGGTTGTTTTGTAACGCCCTGTGGGCTGTACTATGTTTGTAGATTGGGAATAAAAGAGACTGTGTGTGCCAGCACAGGAGTTCCTGCTTAACCCTCAAAGTGAAGTGTCGTCTCATTATTGTGGGAGGATTCATGGTATGCTGTTCCAGTTTGACTGCTAGGAGTGTAAACCTATTCGTATGGTTCCTATTCAACTGTCTACAGCATTCATATGCTTGGGAGAATTTATTTGTTTCTCCAGTTCGGTGATTGTGGTGTCTGCCAGAGTGCTTGGAGTCCTCAGGAAGCGCTAGGAGCATCCTTCAACGGAGGTACCCAGTCGGGGTGCCAGGCGATCCGTTACAGATGTTTTGATAGTATTGTTTTTAACATATGTATGACTTAGAGGTATATCCTAGATAAGGAAGCTCTCAGCTTCTAGATTACTAGATTTTGTCAGGTACCGATAACAGTCTTTATGCATATATTTTATTTCTAGTTTCCCGATGGGGATGTTTATTGGTTACCACAGAGATGACCTCTGATGGCATTAAGGCACTGGGCGCAGCCTGATGACGCCTCCAGGGTCAATTGCTGGCTTGTGGGGGCGCCAGCTTGGGTGGCCTCAGACGTGGTCCTACCACATTGTGGGGTGAGTATGATGGTGTTGGGTATATAATGTGATTATTGTACTGTAACAGCTCATCCTGCTAAAAGTTTGGATAACAAACTGAAACGATCTCTATTTTTTGAGCAAATAAAAGCTAAGTTTTATTTATTTCTTCAAAGTCCCTGGAGTGCTATCTTGACAAAAAAATGTTTTTTAAATATATATTTAAAGTATACACACTACATAATCACAATGCACTAAGCACCTTTGTATATGCACTGTTTACACAGTGGTGCCGTATAAGTGGATTACTATCTATATAATAATCATATAGTACTATAGAGATTTGATTCCTTCAGGAATCCTTTTAGTTTATTATATATTTATTATATAGATTACTATCTATATAATAATCATATAGTACTATAGAGATTTGATTCCTTCAGGAATCCTTTTAGTTTATTATATATATATATTTATTCTTTATTTTTGGTGTGGGTGGTATCACAATTTTTGTACGTTACAATGCTTATAGAACATCAGTGAAAATTGGTAATATGGTCTTCACATTGTTAAGAAACATGTAAGGGCTAACAATACATCGGGTAATGTTACTATATACACATACTATACATGTAAGGTACTCTCACTAGCTATGTGAGGGCATTAATGAAAAGTTGGAAGCTCGCTAAAACTAAAACAAAATCAAATGAGGACAATTAAAACAAACAGGAATAATTTTTAGTCTAAAACTGGACATTAGTCCCGGAGGATCCCAGAGTAAGTCACTGCTGTGAGAAGGCCCTTAAAGACTTTCGATGTAGACAGTCCTATGGAGGGCCCTGTAGCCTTAAAGAATTTGTGTCTTCCACTGCCCAGGACTTTGTTTCCCATGTCACCTTGGCCGTTATATTTATCTTTTAATTACAATCACGATATATATTTTAATTCTTTATTTTTGTGGGTGCAGCATGATGATTACATTATCACGTGTTCAGCATTACAACATAAGAATAACAGATAAAAGTAACAATTTTAACACATATATGGGAGCTGCCCAATTTTATTGTTTGGAAAGCCTATTCAGCCCTCTCTCGCCTGGTTTAGGAGGGGAGGTGTCATTAATGTGCTGTGGGGCGCATTCATATAGCAGTAAGTGCCCATAGGCTTAGTAGCAAGATGTTGCGTTTAGGATAGACAAAAGGCACATCTGGGTGGGTAATTATCTGATATGGGACCTTCAGAAACTGGGCTCTGTGTAAGCTTTGTGCTATTGCTGGCTAGGAAGGCCTAGGTCACTTGCTGAGTGTGTGGAAAAAGGTTGATAATAAATTGAAAAAATGCTTTGCACATTCAAATTAGGAGGGTCGAGAGTAACTTAACGTGGGAAACTAATTGGCAGCTTGCGGAGCCAGTGGGGAAAGAGTATTTAGAACTCCTGCTGACTGCAACAAGTAAAGATACATGAAACTTGCGCAGCTGCAGCCGTATCAGGTAGGGCAAGAATTTTCGGAACCTCTCCTCTGGGCACAAAGGGGGTAATATCTGCAACAGTCCAAGATGAACAGGCTGTCTCCTGCGCCGTCAGCGCTGGTAGGCCAAGTGACTGAAGGAAGGCCGGTATTTCAGAGGCATGTGATAGCTTGTATGTCTTACCAGCCTTGCCCGCCTGTAGTGGATGGCTTGCTCACGGAGTAGCTGAGTAGCCTGCCGTATGTCACAACTCCTTCTCGAGGCATGGAAGTTGCCCTGGTGAGTCAGAAGCAGGAGTCAATCATCACTTGCTTGGCTTGCCGTGGTGTCAGTAACGTGGCTATGAGCCTTCTGCAAAAATGTGGCAGTTCAGTGCCAGAGATTGTCTCCGGTACTCCTCGGACCCTCAGGTTTCGTGCCTTGTTCCTATCTTCCATGCCGGTCAGTTGTGCTTGCTGGTCGGCACATTGTTTGCGTAGGAAGCTCAGTGCAGTCTCGTTAGCGTTTTGCACTAATCTGGTGCCCCCCATGCTCTCCTCTACTGCAGCCAACCTGTTGGTGAGTGTGGCAATGTCCTCCCTCACCAGTGCCATGTCCGCTTGGAACATGGACTTAATGTCCTTCCTCAAAGCTTTAATGTCGGCCTTGGTGTAGGGTGCAGTCACCCAAGTCCAGGGGCCCCTGAGGTGTCTGTCGCGCTCGGTATAGATGCTGTCCTCGTCCGAGGACTGTGAGGTATAGGCCTCAGGCGCCATCTTGGGGATTGCAGGCCGCGAGGTTGCAAGAAGAAAAGCCCCTATATCTCCGGAACCCGATCCCGGATGCACTCGCTGTTTTTTGCTCTTCTTCCCCAGGGTGCCTGTTTGCCATCTTTGAAGCCCAGTGGGACAGTGTATTGCGGTTCCGGGCGGAAGATTCCGGGTTAATGCTCAGAGCTGCAGCGATGTGCGGCTGACTTGCTCGGGTGTCCACCTATATATTTTTTTTTATTTCACCTTTAATACAAGCTGAACCCCAAATACGATCTGTCCTCGTTCCTCTCCCTGGTCACACCAATCTACCGCAACAAACTCTTCCCGCCAGGGCTCACAGCAAAACACTTTCTCAATTTCGATAGAAGGGACATATCCAGGCTACTTCACCTGTACCAACAAGGAGAAGTGTTCTCCGACAACAACCTCCCAGAGGCAGAAACCCTAACCACCTCGGACTACTTCCGATACCTACGCTGTTTTAGTCGTATTTAAGTCATCTGAATTGTTTTCGTTTTAGTCAACTAAATCTCAAAAGGTTTAGTTGACTAAAATGGTTAGTAGACAAAATTAACAATGCTGAAAATAGCCAAGAATATCCATCTGTTGATCTTTTCTGGTCGATTAGTAAAGATAAACAGACGATTAGAAAACTAGTAATAAGTTTGACTGAAATTAGCAGAAAACTCTTACCGTTTAGATGAAACCGATGAAAGGTAGGTGTTATATTCATATATATGCCCTGTATGTGCCTGCCCAGCCTGCAACCCCTTTGGGAACAGCAGGAAATAGGGTGATGGCATAATCTTGCTACATCTAGAGTCACTGCAAGTAAATCCACAGAAAGTACAAGATAGAATTGTACATTCACCATTTCAGTGCTGGAATGCTAGTCTGTCTCACATTAAGTCCTTCAGGAATGAAATGTTAGTCAATCTCATAGAATCCTTGCAATTCATCCGCTCTGTATGTGCATGCCAAGCCTGCTACCCCTTGGTCACTGCAGGAAATATGATGGCCTAATCTTGCTACCCTTAGGTTCACAGCAAGTAAATCCATATACTCTGTATGTGAATGCCCCAGCCTGCTACCCCTTTGGTCACTGTAAGAATTATGGTGATGGCATAATCATGCTACCCTTACGGTCACAGCAAGTAAAACCCCCGGTCACTAAAGGGGTGTCTTCAGGGGGTCACCTTTGCACAGGGCCGTGTACTGAAGACTTCAAGGGAGAGAGGCTGAACTCCCTTGAGGCAGAAGGTGGTAACCCTCAGGTAAACCAAAAAGAAAAATTCTCTAGTCTTATAAGGACAAAGTCTGTACTAGGGATAGGACAGGAACAAATAAACTGAGGGTGGGAGGGGTAACTTCTACCTTCTGTTTTAATTAGGTTCCGGTCTGGTTACGGGTAGGGATATGCTACCCATTGTTGTGCTGTGGGGGTCATAAGCAATTTCAGGTTATTTAAGTTGGCCATTAATTGAGGAGTCTGGCTCAGGTTTTGTGTACAGACTTCAAAGCACTGCTTGCAAGTGCCTGCCTCTCCTACGCAGTTCTCTAAAATATAAATAGTACTGCAGCCAGCCTTATGCCAAAAAAAGTTTACACTAGTAAACCAGAATGAGAGGCTTGGTATTGATGACATCTCTCCTAGTGTTACTATCTGCTACTGCAGCTTGACATTGCAAATGTGCAATGTAGTTCAAAAACCTTAAAAAAAAAAAAAAATTAATAATAATAATATATATATACACATACATACATACATACATATATATATACATACATATGTACATACATATACACACATACAAATTTTACTGTGCCTTTAATTCAGGTTGACAAAACTCCTGAGTGTTACACAAGAGATCTTTTTCATATGCACAGTATACACCAAGGCCATATGCATACTACCCTCACACAATGCTTTGCAGTTCCCTTTAACGCATTTATCCGAATAATTTAAAACACCATGACATGTTTTCAACGATACTGCTTGTATTTTAATATAAAAAGAAAAATTTACATTAGATCACAAATGTCATACTGAGATATACAAGATGCAATGTCAGAATGTGACAGGAAGAACACAATTTGCTTTAAGCAAGACATATTGGCTCTTTATTTTACATATTATGCAATATTAAACCAATACCAAAGAGCACAGTGTCAAAGAGTCTGATTCAATTGTTTCAATTATGGCTGCCACTTTGTTTCAGGAAATAATTTCTACATATTCAGCAGTAACAGTCATACATGTCAAAAAGTTTAACACTTTTCAAAACCATTGTAGCAAAGTGGGATGAACAAAGCTGTACAAATTAGAAAATGAAACTATTTCCTGTCAAGAACAGTGCAGAAGAGTTTGCTGGGTATGTCTCAACAGTCATCGATAGGACATTGCAATTCCAATATCTGTTCGGATACAGGGACTCTCTCCAGTCCAATGAATAAAGCCAGGTTTAACTTTACTCAGCCATAGCTTTTACTCAAGTCTGTCAGTTGTGACAATGGAATGCCTAAAGAATTGAATATCAGCGAGACGCCAAACATCCACAAGTGAAGCCGATCAAGCAAAAAGTCCAAACTTAGAATTGCTGGATAATTAATTTTTTCTTTGCATCATGCGTGAACCTGTTCATTTTGAACAACTCGCTGTCATAAAATGCTGAGAGATTGTGAATGTTAATCTGACGAGCCTAAAACGAGAAACAAAAAACAAAACAAAAACAAAAAATGAAGTTTAATCCATAATTAGAAATGAGTTAAAATACAATTAAAGGGAAACTGTCACTTCCCAGGATACTTTGCTTACTTTTTCCTCTAAGAAATATATTTGTGAGATCTGAAAAATAAAGCCAAATGTAGAAATCTACACATTTATCACAGAACTGGGCGTCTCCATCTTTGCTCACTGTCCATTATGATCAGTAAAGATTTACAAGAAAAGCAGTTAACATTTTTATAAGAGCATAGAACATGTCAAAACAATGTACTTTCTGCATTATTTCCTTAAAGCAAAATACATTTTTTTATAGCGATGGGAAAAAAGTTACTTCTTTAACCACAAAATCTAGGCCCTGGTGTTGGTCACTGTTGTCATTACAATGCAGATCAATTCCTGCAGTGATGCCAAAACAAGCTTACTGCAACCTTCCCTGTAGCAGACAGACTAATAAAATATTCACACTCAGCAGATTAATTTACTGAGCTTATTAAATTCAAAGACCTGCAGCAGTGGGAGCATAAACCCTTTGATGAACAAATTAAATTTCTGATCGCCCTGAAGTTCCACATTTTAATTTTTTAAATACAAATATATACATTGTAGAACTTTATTCATGTTGATTGCGACAAAGCAATCAATTTTGGCCTAAAATTCTGATGAGACCCAAGAGAGTTTTCATTCAAGGCGATAACTGCCGTTGACAGTAAAATTCTGGTGTGATATACGCACAAACCTAAATCTCTAATCATTATACAAATACAAAAGAGATTTACAATTTTAGCTCTAAATCCATCATCCACAATTTATCTGTACAATATCACCACCATTTTGGCATAGTTTAAATATGCAGCAAATGTATCTGCCTCAGATGAAGAAGGGGGGTGAAAGAGCTTTCATTTTTAAACCAGCATGCACATCCTGTCAAAGATTCATTCACAAAACCTATACAGCTGTTCTACTAGCCAATGAAAGTACTACAACTGCTGGGGAGGCTGAACCAAATACTCCATAAGCCCTGCACAATAAAACTGGAAGAGTAGGGGTATGTGTTTAAAGGAGGTTTAATGCAAACCTGGAGTAGCCCTTACACTTACTAAGAATAGTTTAATCATAATCTAGAAATCGGCCCTTTACAGTAGCCAAATTTTGTACAGTTTAACAATATATTTTGTTTATATGGATAAAAAGAGTAGCAGCTGTTGAGAAAGAAAACTTACTTTGTCTACTAGGTCCTTCTCTGAGACTTCTACAGTGTCTTGCTGGGCCCCATATCTGTTCCTCTGGTAAGTCACCTGCTCAGCCACCAATTGTTTCAGAATAAACAGCAGAAGTTCATTGTTGTCTCTCCTGAATGCCAGGTAACGAGCGAAGGTCTACAGGAAGAAACAAAGTTCATTACTTAAAACAACAAGAAACCAAAAGAATAAAACATACTAGGAGAAATACTTTTGCTTTGCAGGATGTGCCTGTCCTTAATTAGCCTTTTACTTAACACAAGGAATTCCAAATTCGATTTAACTTTTTCACAATTGTCTGGGGTTTCTGTATCTCTTGTGCAGAGAGGACTTCTGGGTATTTCAGTTCATGACTGCCCTTATAGGTGAGATTAGTTTGGTATGCAAATGTAATGGCACAAGTTAGACCTGAGCGGGGACTATCCAGCAAACTGAGTTTCCCCAATCTTTTCCCCATTCTAATATGCTCTGTTTTTGTTTACATATTTTTACTGTAATCCCTCAGAAAGATAGTAATATGATAAAGCCTGGGTACTTATAGCCACTATTAGACTTGGATGGTATGGAGGTGAAAAGAACAGGGCATGCCAGACTGACCTTTCTCATGCTCCTCATGACGCTGAATTTTTGTGTATCAATGAAGCTCTCAAGCATCACCCTTATGGCCATGTTTACGTCATCCTCAACAACATAATCCCGCAAGTGCATGCGGGCATGAGCTTCTGCCATTCGGATCATTGACTCTATGTGTCGAACAGTGATAGGAATGCTACCAGTGGCCTGGAGAGAAGAGAAAAATGCTTGTTCGTAAGGTATGAATAGTGGCATCAGGAAGGCAGCAGTCTGCAGATATCAACATAACTAGGCCATGCATTTAGAGAGTTGTATGATTAAAGCTTTGCATGTCACTGGAGTTGGCTCAGCATGTGCTTCAAAAAGGTAAATGTTCTAAAATAAACAAAATAATCAAGACATCTCCATGTGAGCCATGGTGAGTTAAGGAGATAAAAGGTCATAGTAGAAGATATTGCAGACATGTACCTATATGTGCGCTACAGCAGGTCTTTATCCTCCCTGAATTCAGCTCTAGAACAGCTATGTAACAATTATGTGTGTGTGTGTGTGTGTGTAACATTGCACAGTTTAATACATATATCCCAAGGTAGGAAGAAAAAGCATAGAACGTAAGCATTAACGAGATAAAACAGTCCTAATTTGGATGGCAATGATAAGTTGCAAGTGCAGGGCTGAAGCACTGCCCTAGCATGCATAACCTAACTTTCAAATTTTGAGTACACACACACACACAAATAAAAATATAAATAAAATGCAGAAACTTTCACATTATGTCAGGAGTAGGAGCAGAGAGGCCAGGCCTTGGGTGCCATCGAAGCCCCAATTATGTCAAACTGCTTAAAAGTGGTTTGACAATTATTGTTTTTATGTACTCATAATCCTAAAACACAATTTTAAAAAAAAAAAAAAAGAAAAGAAAAGAGAAATACAGGCCCTGTACCCAAAGACAACATCACTCCTACATTGTAAACCTCATTTGAACAGGGCCTTCTTCACCTATTGAATCAGATATTTTGTGAGACAGTTATTACCTGTTTAGCAACCCCAGTATATAAACTGTGAAGCACTAAGGAAAATCTTCGAGTTATATAAATACAAATAACAATTACAAAAAGTTGTAGTGGTCAATTTAAACAAAACAAAGTTGTAAGATTGCACCATCTTGTGGTCACGAATCAAAATACACCAGCAAAAGAATAGCTGGCAGGAATATGCAAGAGTATAAAAACTTTTTACCGGTCATGTATTATCAGTAAACATTTGTTAATGTAATGGGCTGCAAAATAAAGCACTCTTATGTAATGCCTCCATACACACGAGATGACAAGAATTTTAACAACGATCTAGTCACTGATCACCCAAAACTCCATTTGCATACCATAGATTCCTTTCTGAGATCACTATACATTCGTGCCACTTTATCTTGGTCCATCTGGTTTAGTTTAGGGTGAATCTTTTCTTTTGCATAAATTAGATATTTCTTCAGCACTTCCTGGGGTAAAGGGTCTACCCCAAATGTATTGGGCAATACAAATTTATCTGAATCTACCATATCCTTGTTGCTCGGGTGATGCTTGATGTGGCTTCCCACCACAAAGCGTGCAAGCATTTCATCCTGAAGAAAAAGCCACAATGCATACATTTAGCAAAATTACACCTCAATACACATTTCCATAGAGTCAGCAGCATTGTAATGCTAACGAATGTTGTACATGCAGTAAAATAGTGGAGATCGTTCTGTAGAATGAGATGCTTTCCATTTAAGAACATCTGAATTACTGGTTCCTAGGTTATATTAAACATACCCAAAAATAGAGTAATCGAGTGATCAAGTATTTTGAGCACTTGCTATAAAGATTATTTTTTTTTCTCTAAATAAAACCAAGTTAACTATATAAATATTACAATGGCTTCCTGTAATGTACAAAGATAACAGAATATTGTTTTTATGGGAAATGTAGTTATAAAATTTACTTTTAAATTCCTATATCAGACCTGCCCGCATGACAGGTCACCAAGAACAGAAAATGTATAGAAAGTACACTTGAAACTGGTTTTCAGACTTCGAGAAATTGTATTTTTAAGTCAATTGACTTTGTTTTATTGTCCACACATGGTAACAGTACTAAAAGTTTGGCAAATTCTGTACCTGAACAGGATCCACTGTGTCTCTCACCACACAAAGAACATCAAATCGAGAAACAATGGGCTCAGTCAGGTCCACATTCTCAGAAAAGGTTAAGGAAGGATCGTAACGACCACCTGAAACACATACAAACATGATAAATACAGTGCAGTGTGAAAGTATTTGCTTCAATAGTCAAACAAAATGGTACTTCAACATTAATATGGGCTGCAATGATGCACAGCCCTTTTCTCCATCACTCTTTGGGAAGCTGAAGGGTCAAGAGCACATAGCAAACCACACATGCCACGGCACACAATAGACAAATACAAATTAAGTCAAGTTGACTTCACAAGGAAGAAAATATATATATTAAAAAACCTCACCAATGGGATTGGCAGCAGCTATTACAGTGCATCGTGCCTGTAGGGAAGTGACAATGCCAGCCTTGGAGATGGAGATACTCTGTTGTTCCATAGCTTCATGTATACTGGTTCTGTCCTGATCATTCATCTACAAGATATTGCAAACAAATTAATAAAAATACAATGGGTGATGTAGCAACTTTGTTCCTATCATTAACCTGCCCAAAAATTCAATAACATTAAAATACTCTATAGTTCGGAACTCTGCAAAATGCAAGCTGTTTAACGTCTTGACTTATGGAGAAGAGACAAAATTTGGATAGTTTTACAAAACTGACATTGATTCATTCAGGTTTTCCCCAATTCTACTAAATTGGTCGATCATTTTGCAATTATTGAACCAACTAATGTTTCATGTTGAGGATCTCAGCCTATGCGAAAGCTTTGGGAATCTATAGCACGTGCATAACAAAATCAGCATCTTCTCATATAGATACACTGACTCAATGCATTTTTACGGGGAACATTCAGCACCTCCATGCAGAATGTGGAGACACTGAACGTAGGTGCTGCTCACTGGCACTGGAATAAAAAGTACCTCTAGTCCCCGAACCCTGAACTCAGCCTCAGCTAAAAATGGGACCCTAAAGACTGTAGTGCTGCACTGTGTAAAGGTCTGGAAGAGTTGGGTGGCTGATCAGGGAGGCCAATACTACTCACCATTCTGGGGCAGAAGTCTCTATACGAAGGGTATAGGCTGAATAACAAGCTCTCTTTCACACACTAAGGTTTTAAGGACCACCACCCTGTTTAGCTAGGTTATCACTCGCGGGTATTACTCTATTTTATTTTACTGTGAGCGTCCTCTAACAATAAACGAGGCACCAGAAGCACATCCATTGGTATATCTACTACATCTAGAAAACATCTGTTACACCCACTATCTAGACTAGCTTTAGTTAATATATCTTGTTTGGAATTGTGCAGTTGCCTAACCTGACTCACTCTGTTTCCTTAAAGGACCACTCTGGGCACCCAGACCACTTCAGCTTAGTGAAGTGGTCTGGGTGTCAGGTCCCTCTAGGATTAACCCATTTTTTTTTTTTAATAAACATAGCAGTTTCAGAGAAACTGCTATGTTTATAAAAAGGTTAATCCAGCCCCTAGTAGCTGTCTCATTGACAGCCGCTAGAGGCGTTTGCGTGCTTCTCACTGTGAAAATCACAGTGAGAAGACGCCAGTGTCCATAGGAAAACATTGTAAATGCTTTCCTAGGAGACAGGCTGAATGCATGCGCAACTCCTGCTGCGCATGCGCATTCAGCCGAAGAATATGAGGAGAGCTCCCTGCCCGGCGCTGGAAAAAAGTTTCAACCCCTTTCCTTGCCATCCAGCCCGGCGGGAGGGGAACCCTGAGGGTGGGGCACCCTCAGGGCACTATAGTGGTCCTTTAAAACAATAATTGTGCTGTTATATGCCAGTGATGGCACGCCGGGCCCTCTCTGCGGGCACGCGGCCATGGGTCGCCGGTTGGTATCGGAAGCAGGGGGAGGGATCTACGAAGCAACTCTTCTGCCTTCCCGCGAGCAATCTGTGTGGAGCGTTGCTGCGCGTTACCATGGCAACGCTCCACACTGCATTCTACGCATGGGAGTCCTGGCGAACCTGTCCTACATACTTACCACCGCCTAACCACCAGGGCTGGCTGTCGTCCCCCCCTCCACACACCCACACACACACACACACACAAATGGAGAAGAGGAGGAGATGCTGGTGGAGAGGAAGAAGAGAATCTGGGGTAGAGGAGGAGGAGAATCAGGGGTTAACTCTTGTGATGGTAGGCTTTTGCATTAAACAGACTTGCCGCTTTTGAGGGTCTTTGCATATTCTGCAGTAACACCTAAAAGAGGTGTTCTCTCCAATAAAAAAATAAAAGAATCAAATGGAATTTTATTGCTTATATAATTAAAGCTAGTCTCTGCCAATTATACCCAGGGTTAGTGATATTTTGCTATTTAACTTGATCAACGTTTTTAATTTGATGGCTACAGCACAAACCTTGTCAAACTCATCGATCAAGCACACTCCTCTGTCTGCCAGAACAAGAGCTCCTGCTTCCAGAGTCCACTCCTTGGTCACTGGGTGGCGCTGGACGTAAGCAGTCAGACCCACAGCAGATGCTCCCTGACCAGTGGTGAATACTGCTCTGCTGGAGACTTTCTCAATGTACTTAAGAAACTGGGATTTGGCAGTTCCAGGGTCACCGCAAAGGAGTACGTTGATGTCACCACGGACCTTGTGTTTTCCACCTGCCAAGTATCATTGGGAAAAACGCTGTATAATTAACTTGATTCAAATTAAGGCAGTTCACAAGGAAATACATTTGTGGACAACCTTGAGAAATAAAATGGTCTACAAGTTAGAATTCCCTAGTCAACTGTACACAGTTTGCTGAACAATCCCACACAAAAACAAGTTCTAGTAACAGCATCAGCACGCATGTGGTTTGGCCTAAAATCAAAGTATAGATTAAATATTTAAGGAAAAAAAAATACACTGAATATATTCAAATATTTCGATATTTTAGGATACATCTTTACAAGATAAAGAGTTCGTGTCAAACCACTCAACAAAACAGAGCTTAGGAGGAGTTGTTCTCTAGGTCAGTTTTACAAGTTTTGAAGGGGAAAGGTCACAATGGTATTTTTTTTTTTTTTGCTTATTGTCTTTATATATATATTTATGAAGTACAAAGAATAAAGTTGACGAGCTACAGGCTATTTTTATTATTTTAATATATTCTGTTTCCAGAAAAGTGGTCATTCCACTTTAAGAGAAGATGACAGTAAAAAACAAAAGGTCAAACCAAATTTAGTCGCATACTCTATGGAGGTATGGGAGAAAACAGGCATATAAATAAAAATACGGTAGTTGATACACAGACCTCACCTAAAAAGTAAACAACATTGAATGTCATTAGTATGACAAAAGGTATCTCAAAACTCACCTGGGTTCTTTGGTTCTCCTCCAAAGAGAGCAAGGGCCAGCCCTCTCTTGATATCTTCATGCCCATAGATGGATGGGGACATGCTTGCAAAGATCTGCAGAAGACAAAGAAGAAAAAAAATATGTGAATAATCCTGGTTCATAACCAACACCATTAGCTGCTTATGGAACTAGACAATATTCCCAAACAGACTTAGCTTACCCTCTCGCCAATCCGTTCATCTTTGGAGAGTGCCACAATAGCCTTTACATCTTCATCTGTGAGCTCTCCAACAGCTACTTTGTCATCTTTCTTGGTGATGTGATTGGCAAGAATAACAGTTGCAAAAACAGGAAAACCACTGGCAGTGTTCAGAGATCCATCGTAGTTGTTATGATAAATACCAGTCAGTTCCTACAAAAAACACCCAAACAACTGTTTAAGTAGGTGGATTATATCAGTGAGCTTTGTCCTCAGACATTTTTAAAATGTACTCAGCCCTGGGACTGTCCATTATTGTACTTACAATTTCATCTCCTGGTTTGCAGCTATCTACTAAATCTGCTAGCAGGATGGCATCCTTGGAACGAGGCAATCGACCAGCTGCGACCTTACCAGGGCTCTCCTGAATTGTTATGCGCTGGTAGTTCTGGTAGACAGTCTGAAAGAAAGGAGGACATGGCATTAATTTGGCTGTAATTAGACTATTTCACATTTGGCTTCAAAAGCAATGCAAATGAGCCACATCCCAACTAAACCGCTCTTTCCAAAACAAACACCTACTCAATGTACAACACACAAAACAGTGAACCCATTTATAAAGAGCTATTTTGAGATCGTACTAAATGTGAAGCAATGATCAGGAATATTTTGTAGGGATCATGATTATAGTGTTTCAAAGAATGTGGTTCTGACTCCAAAACATGAAGCTTACCTCTTCCATGTTTATTTCGAAAGGCCCAAAAGATTGACATTCAGGACAGGATCCTGGCTTCACTTCCTGGTTCTGAGATTGGGAGAATGGTCCGAGTATGAAGTTGCACTTGTTACAATTGTACTTCACCATACTGAGCTGTGGCAGGACCCCAGTACAGCAGGTGACTACTCCACTTGTACGAATTAGCTGGTTCAAATGCAGCTGCCTGAGAAACACAAAAGATGGTATGCCGTATTTGTAAAAGTCAAAATACAATAACAATAGAAGGTGTTCTCATGCTTAACCCCTTAAGGACCAAACTTCTGGAATAAAAGGGAATCATGACATGTCACACGACGTGTGTCCTTAAGGGGTTAACCAAAACACAATTTAATTTCAATATGACACACACTCTTGTGGTTTATAAGGGATGTAAAAATATTAAGTCTACATAATTCTAACTTTTAATCAGAGTTTCTGAATAAAATAATGTTCAAATATTTATATTGGATAAAATTTATTTTATTTTGGTACGTGCCAAAAACACACCACTTAAATCACATACGTATATTGCATCTCACCTCAGAGATCTTAGCTCCTCCACTAGTGGAAGATGGGATATACGGACATGTATCTCCTTGGCAATACGGTCATACTTCGGGTACATGACGAGCACAACTTCTTTTGCTGCCTCATCGAATATCTTAAGCATTTCTGCTGGGGCTTCTGGCAAGAAATAGGCTAGGACATGTTCTCTGGCAGCCAAATCCTCATAATTTACCACCAAGCTCTCCTTGTTCTCTAAGAAAAAAAAAAAAAAAAAATGTCTTTATACTTGGCATATAGTGTCTCTTCTGAGATTTTTATCACAACAGGATAGTTATGATACGTCAATTCATTTTATTAAAACACTCAATAGTTTTATTTACATAGCATGTGATTTCAAATTACCTCCAGTAACATAAAAGCATGCGGCACAACAGAAGAAAAGAAGGTGAGAGCATGCTTTTACTTATAAGCCTGTCTGTGCAGGTGTCCAAGGGAACATGAGCATGCCTAGGGCAAAAAGGGCAAGGATGTGGGAAGTACTGTAAATCAAAATGATTATTTTCTCCCCTACAGCCCTGCCCACCCCAGTAAATACTCCAAACACTTTACTGGTGTTCGGGAACAAGAAACTGTCACTTTCAGAAAAGAAACAGGTTTATTTTACAATGATTTGGTAATGTAGCATTTTGCATTCTGCAGATGGAATATCCAGTTATGCCATATGGTGAACACAGCCAGACATAATGTAATAGTTTTCCTAAGACAGTACCTTTGCACATGTCACTGATCTTCTCTTTGAATACATTGTGCCCATGTTCATCCACATGGGTCCTCAGGAAGTTCTTGAAGCGATGATAAATTTCCAGGCGGGTAGCAACCATGGACACCCATTCTCTCACTGTATGACCTTTCATGTCCTCAAGGTTTTCAATGCTTTCTATCATCTCCTCATCTTCATCTGTTGCTCCCTCTGCAGCACGCTCTGCCATTCTGCGCTTTCGAGCAGGACGATCTTCTTCTTCATCATCGCTGTCTGATAATCATAGAAAAACAAAAACTATAGTTAGGGAGGAATTAAAATGGACATCTTACAGTCATAACAGGGTGGTTGCATAATATGTATAGATTATCTATCCTAAATATTATTTATTTTACACGAATACACACACTTTGATAACATACCATAGAGAAGCCCTCTTCGCATACGTCCTAAATCACGACCCGACTCCCGGTCACGCATTCTCATTGATTGCTCAGCTGCGTCCCTCTGACTGGCTGTCAGTTCTTCCACGTCTTCGTCATCCAAACCTTCTGCCTCATAAACATCCAGCTCAGAGATGGGACGGTAATCCCTATATGGACACAAATATTACGGTTGAAGCATCAAGATACAGTATAAACATGTTAATTTCTGCATCAATATCAAGTGTCTGCAAAGATAGCATCATTACCTTTCCATGCCATCCCCAATCAGTTCCTCTCCATCTTCCTCTTCATCTACTGGGAGACCCTCATCCCCCAAGATACCTTCAGATTCATCTTCAAAAGGCGGAAGATCTCTCCCAGGACTGGAAGTCAAGGCATCTCCACGTCTTGACCCAGCTCTGGGACTTGTGGCAATAGTGAATGATTCTGAGGAATCCTGTAATTCACATAGGAGTTAGTAAAAATGTGTCTAAAGAAATTTCACGGCATTACCTATTTTATGAGGAGCAATAATACCACTGTACCTGGTTTTCACATTAAAAAGGGAGAGCCCATCATAACCTATGCTCATGATAAGGATCTGTCATTATCTAGCACCTGCTTGTAAAATAAATTTGCAGAAGGACCCTTATATGACCAGCTCTAAATGTGCCAGAACCAGAAGATTACCACTATATAAAAACAGAGCTTCACGCCACTCTTATGCAGTTTCTTATTAACAAAACAGAACTGGGTTGTCTGAACTGATAGGAGCGGAAGTTTTAGTGCAGGGCAGCTTTTACCTTATGCAGCATTAGTTCCAGGTTGAATGACTGGCGCTTACAACAACTTAATGCTGTCAAAATATGAGTGGGATTGAGATTGCTAATTATTTGTATTATAATACCACTATTAAGTTCTACAGCACTAAAGTATATAACGTCTACTATGCAATATACTGAGCAAGAGACACGGCCATATGATGAAGCTGGATGAACTTATTTTTCCCCTTCACAGTATTGTGAGATAGCACCATAACAAGTAGTTGGCTATGGTGTTTAGGCTCCTTTATTAATGTTACTCAAAACACACCGGCATGCATTGCTGGTAGCACTGCTACTTTTTCAGATTTTATATATATATATATATATATATATATATATATATATATATATATATATATATATATATATATATATATATAGTATGGTGTGCTTATTTATGGATGTCTGATTTTGATGTTCTGATAGGTTTAGCAATCATTGACAGATCACAAAGTAGAAAAGGCCTTGATTTGACTAACTTGGGCAAGTAAAGTATGCAAAGAGCAACAATGCTAATAATTGGTGAGGTTTAGAATCATGGTACATGCACATCAGCACTGCTAGCAACAGGTAAGGATATGAGAATTACTAGTAGCAGAATTATTACTAGCGGCAGTATTATTTACTAGTAACAGGTCAGTGTATGGCTGAGGGTGGCAGTATTACTAGTGGCAGTTTTATTATTAGTAACAGTCAGTGTATGGCTGAGGGTAGCAGTATTACTAGCAACATGTCAGTGTATGGCTGAGGGTAGCAGTATTATTAGCAACAGGTCAGTGTATGGCTGAGGGTGGCAGTATTACTAGTAGCAGAATTATTACTAGCGGAAGTATTATTTACTAGTAACAGGTCAGTGTATGGCTGAGGGTGGCAGTATTACTAGTGGCAGTTTTATTATTAGTAACAGTCAGTGTATGGCTGAGGCAGTATTACTAGTAGCAATATTATTACTAGTGGCAGTATTACTAGTAACAGTCAGTGTATGGCTGAGGGTGGCAGTATTACTAGTAGCAATATTATTACTAGTGGCAGTATTACTAGTAACAGGTCAGTGTATGGCTGAGGGTAGCGGTATTACTAGTAACAGGTCAGTGTATGGCTGAGGGTAGCAGTATTACTAGTAACAGTCAGTGTATGGCTGAGGGTAGCAGTATTACTAGTAACAGTCAGTGTATGGCTGAGGGTAGCGGTATTACTAGTAACAGGTCAGTGTATGGCTGAGGGTAGCAGTATTACTAGTAACAGTCAGTGTATGGCTGAGGGTAGCGGTATTACTAGTAACAGGTCAGTGTATGGCTGAGGGTAGCGGTATTACTAGTAACAGGTCAGTGTATGGCTGAGGGTAGCAGTATTACTAGTAACAGTCAGTGTATGGCTGAGGGTGGCAGTATTACTAGTAACAGGTCAATGTATGGCTGAGGGTAGTGGTATTACTAGTAACAGGTCAGTGTATGGCTGAGGGTAGCAGTATTACTAGTAACAGGTCAGTGTATGGCTGAGGGTAGCAGTATTACTAGTAACAGTCAGTGTATGGCTGAGGGTGGCAGTATTACTAGTAACAGGTCAATGTATGGCTGAGGGTAGTGGTATTACTAGTAACAGGTCAGTGTATGGCTGAGGGTAGCAGTATTACTAGTAACAGGTCAGTGTATGGCTGAGGGTAGCAGTATTACTAGTAACAGGTCAGTGTATGGCTGAGGGTAGCAGTATTACTAGTAACAGTCAGTGTATGGCTGAGGGTAGCAGTATTACTAGTAACAGTCAGTGTATGGCTGAGGGTAGCAGTATTACTAGTAACAGTCAGTGTATGGCTGAGGGTAGCGGTATTACTAGTAACAGGTCAGTGTATGGCTGAGGGTAGCAGTATTATTAGCAACAGTCAGTGTATGGCTGAGGGTAGCAGTATTATTAGCAACAGGTCAGTGTATGACTGAGGGTAGCAGTATTACTAGTAACAGGTCAGTGTATGGCTGAGGGTAGCAGTATTACTAGTAACAGTTAGTGTATGGCTGAGGGTAGCAGTATTACTAGTAACAGTCAGTGTATGGCTGAGGGTAGCAGTATTACTAGTAACAGGTCAGTGTATGGCTGAGGGTGGCAGTATTACTAGTAACAGTCAGTGTGTGGCTGAGGGTGGCAGTATTACTAGTAACAGTTAGTGTATGGCTGAGGGTAGCAGTATTACTAGTAACAGGTCAGTGTATGGCTGAGGGTGGCAGTATTACTAGTAACAGGTCAGTGTATGGCTGAGGGTAGCAGTATTACTAGTAACAGTTAGTGTATGGCTGAGGGTAGCAGTATTACTAGTAACAGTCAGTGTATGGCTGAGGGTAGCAGTATTACTAGTAACAGGTCAGTGTATGGCTGAGGGTGGCAGTATTACTAGTAACAGGTCAGTGTATGGCTGAGGGTGGCAGTATTACTAGTAACAGTCAGTGTGTGGCTGAGGGTGGCAGTATTACTAGTAACAGTCAGTGTATGGCTGAGGGTAGCAGTATTACTAGTAACAGTCAGTGTATGGCTGAGGGTAGCAGTATTACTAGTAACAGTATTAGTATTATTATTAGTTACTAGTAGCAGTATAATTATTATTATTATTGTTATTATTGTTATTATTATTGTTGTTGTTATTGTTGTTAGTAACAGGTTTCCGCCTGGGTGAAGGTTTATTTATGGAGTCCATGGTGGCCCTGGGTGCTGTATAAACAATACACAGTGTGTCTGGCGCTCCAGGAATTAAAGGTTCCGTTTTGCCCGATCAGTAACCCCGGCTAGTGATAAGACCCGGAGATGCAGTGAATGGATCCTGTCCCATACACACATTATCCATGTGGGGAGCCCCACTCACCGCCATGCCGCTCTCTGTGTCTGTCTCGGTCCTTGCTGAGCTCTCACAGGGTTTGGCGCGAAAACCTCACGTGACCAACCAAAGCCCGCGAAAAGTGCTCAGTCTGGCGACAAACTCCGCCCCCTGCCCATACTGTGTCACTGCTGCTCAATGTGGGAATAAACCCCGCCCCCTACCGGTGTCACTACTGCTCAATGTGCGAATAACCCCGCCCCCTGCCCATACTGTGTCACTGCTGCTCAATGTGGGAATAAACCCCGCCCCCTACCGGTGTCACTACTGCTCAATGTGCGAATAACCCCGCCCCCTGCCCATACTGTGTCACTGCTGCTCAATGTGGGAATAAACCCCGCCCCCTGCCCATACTGTGTCACTGCTGCTCAATGTGCGAATAAACTCCGCCCCCTGCCCATACTGTGTCACTGCTGCTCAATGTGCGAATAAACCCCGCCCCCTGCCCATACTGTGTCACTGCTGCTCAATGTGCGAATAAACTCCGCCCCCTACCGGTGTCACTACTGCTCAATGTGGGAATAAACCCCGCCCTCTGCCCATACTCTGTGACTACTGCTCAATGTGGGAATAAACCCCGCCCTCTGCCCATACTCTGTGACTACTGCTCAATGTGGGAATAAACCCCACCCTCTGCCCATACTCTGTGACTACTGCTCAATGTGCGAATAAACTCCGCCCCCTACCGGTGTCACTACTGCTCAATGTGGGAATAAACCCCGCCCCCTGCCCATACTCTGTGACTACTGCTCAATGTGGGAATAAACCCAGCCCCTCTGCCCATACTCTGTGTTCTGCTCAATGTGAATAAACCCCACCCTGCCCTGTGACTACTGCTCAATGTGGGAATAAACCCGCCCTGCCCATACTATTGTCACTGCTGCTCAATGTGAATAAATAAACTCCCTGCCCATACTGTGTCACTGCTGCTCAATGTGGGACTAAACCCCTTCGGTGTCATACTCAATGTAGGAATAAACCCGCCCTCTGCCATACTCTGTGACTACTTTACTCAATGTGGGAATAAACCCGCCCCGCCATACTCTGTACTGCTCAATGTGGGGCAACCCGCCCCTCTACCATACTCTGTGACTACTGTCTTGGGAATAAACCCGCCCTCTGCCCCATACTCTGTGACTACTGCTCAATGTGGGAATAAACCCCGCCCTCTGCCATACTCTGTCACTACTGCTCAATGTGGGAATAAACCCCGCCCTCTGCCATACTCTGTGACTACTGCTCAATGTGGGAATAAACCCCGCCCTCTGCCCATACTCTGTGACTACTGCTCAATGTGGGAATAAACCCCGCCCTCTGCCATACTCTGTGACTACTGCTCAATGTGGGAATAAACCCCGCCCTCTGCCATACTCTGTGACTACTGCTCAATGTGGGAATAAACCCCGCCCTCTGCCATACTCTGTGACTACTGCTCAATGTGGGAATAAACCCCGCCCTCTGCCCATACTCTGTGACTACTGCTCAATGTGGGAATAAACCCCGCCCCCCGCCATACTCTGTGACTACTGCTCAATGTGGGAATAAACCCCGCCCTCTGCCATACTCTGTGACTACTGCTCAATGTGGGAATAAACCCCGCCCTCTGCCCATACTCTGTGACTACTGCTCAAAGTGGTAATAAACCCCGCCCTCTGCCATACTCTGTGACTACTGCTCAAGGTGGGAATAAACCCCGCCCTCTGCCATACTCTGTGACTACTGCTCAATGTGGGAATAAACCCCGCCCCCTTTCCACACTCTGTGAGTACAGCACAATGTGGGAATAAACCCTGCCCCCTTTCCATACTGTATGAGTAAAGCACAATGTGGGAATAAACCCTGCCCCCTGCCCATACTGTGTCACTGCTGCTCAATGTGGGAATAAACCCCGCCCTCTGCCATACTCTGTGACTACTGCTCAATGTGGGAATAAACCCCGCCCTCTGCCATACTCTGTGACTACTGCTCATTGTGGGAATAAACCCCGCCCTCTGCCCATACTCTGTGACTACTGCTCAATGTGGGAATAAACCCCGCCCTCTGCCATACTCTGTCACTACTGCTCAATGTGGGAATAAACCCTGCCCTCTGCCATACTCTGTGACTACTGCTCAATGTGGGAATAAACCCCGCCCTCTGCCCATACTCTGTGACTACTGCTCAATGTGGGAATAAACCCCGCCCTCTGCCATACTCTGTGACTACTGCTCAATGTGGGAATAAACTCCGCCCTCTGCCATACTCTGTGACTACTGCTCAATGTGGGAATAAACCCCGCCCTCTGCCATACTCTGTGACTACTGCTCAATGTGGGAATAAACCCCGCCCTCTGCCCATACTGTGTCACTGCTGCTCAATGTGGGAATAAACCCCGCCCAATTTCCATATTGTGTGATTACAGCTCAATGTGGAAATAAACCCCGCCCCATTTCCATATTGTGTGACTACTGCTTAATTGGGAATAAACCCCACCCCTGCCCATACTGTGTCAGTCAGTACTGCTCAGTGTGCTCATTAATATGTATGTGTCAGTGCAGGAGGAGGCTGCTCAGGGTGCTCATTCATATAGATCAGTTCCCTGTTCGGTGCCAATGCAGGAGGGGGAGGCTGCTCAATGTGCTTATAAAAGGGACACTATAGTCACTAGAACAACTACAGCTTATTGTATTTGTTCTGGTGAGTAGAATTAATCATATTGCAAGTAATTTCGTCTCCTGCATTCCCTGTTGTTCTAGGGTTTCCTTGGTTAAAAAGACATAATCCCTCTATAGACTGGGTGAGTGGTGAAGTAATATGACTTAGTGACTAAGATTAAACCGGTTCTTCTGATTAATATTCCTACCATGACTCCTTTGTCTACTGAAATCCTGCCTGAACCATACCTTGGCGTTTAAGAGGTATTCGACAAAGCTAATGCCGAAGTCTTACCACCTCATAGGACTTCTGACTGTCCTATAGAACTACTACCTGGCACTATGCCACCTAGGGGTACAGTTTATCCTCTTCCCATGAAGGAGAATGCGGTATTGAAAGAGTAGATAAAGGAAAATTTGAAGAAGGGGTTTTTCAGAAAATCATCTTCCCTGTCAGAACTTTTTGATCAATTAAAGGAGGCTACAATATTTACTAAGTTGGATCTAAGGGGAGCGTACAACTTCGAATATGCAAAGGAGGGGGCGGAGCCAACTACCGATCAAGCCGGACGCACACTGTGGGAGCTCTGGACTGATAGCCCTGCTAAAGGCTGTAATAGGCCGCAAGAACCACAACCGGTGCCCGGAGAAAGGATCTACCTGCACCTCACACAATGGGGAAACGCTACAAAAAACTCTGGGCCAATAGGAGCCTGGGAACCCGAGATATCGGAACGTTCCTGCAGCACCCGACCAGGTCCGCACCAGCAAAGATGGCCACCTCAGACTCATCTGATGCAGAGAGCTTACCGGAGGAACTATCCACCTTCCCAGAGGTACTTACTACCACCCACCAGCCCCCAAAAGAGGGAGATACTGCCCCCTCGACCAAAGCAGACATCAAAGCCGTTTTGCATGAGATAAGGGCCATGTTCCAAGCAGATGTGGCTGGGGTGAGGGAAGAAGTAGCCACCCTCACTGGCAGGATTGTCAGATTGGAGGATGACTTGGACACGACGAAAGTGGCCCAAACAGCCACAGATACTACCCTAGGCTTGCTGCAGAAGAGCAATGAGGACGTGCTCAACCGCTTGGCTAATATGGAGGACAGGATGAAAGCAAGAAATGTGAGAATTAGGGGAGTCCCTGAGACCATAACTACTGGAGAACTGCCACATTTTATCTGGAGACTCCTTGCTACACTGCTCCCCCCAAAGCAGGCGAAACAAGTTGTTATGGACCACTGCTTCCGACTACCCAAGGCCCCCAGACCCCCTCTAGAGTCATCATGAGACATTCTTGTAAAGCTTGTCCGTGACTCAGACAGAGGCGCTATTCTGACGGCAACCAGAGATACCCCCAGCACTACCTTTGAGGGGCACCAACTGACATTTTATAGGGAAATATCCCGCCATACCATCACCTGGCGACGGTCACTACACCAACTTACCCAGCATATAAATGGGGCATACACAAGCTGACGGTAGAAAGAGGGGGCAAGACACACTCACTCACTCACCTATCTGAATCCTACCGTTTCCTATGGAACCTGGGACTGCCCATGAGCACCTTCCAATTGCCGCAACAACACTCCAGGTCAGTAGACCACATTGCTCCGTTTGTCCCAAGAGAGGCCGCAGGGGGATCCCGCGACCCGCCACCGAGAAGAGGACTAACGCATCAGCTTGTCCATCTCACCACACAAGCTCCATGCGAGCTCACTTTCTCTCTAGATGTTAGCATGGACCCTAAATATTGTTTGGTGGTTTTATGGATTTTACATTTTTTTTAATATATATATTTTTAAGATCTTAATCTAAATTGGCTCCGTTAGTAGTAGCTACACTAGTTCTGCAGAGTTGTATTTACCCCCCCCCACTTACCTACCCACCGTGCCTAATACAACCAGCAGCTCCCACCAACAGGCAGATGCTGCGTGACACAGGCCGACAGCAACCACTTTTCATATTGGTTCTGATTTTGATATTAAAATTAGTACAATCCACTACCAATGACGGCAGACTGAGGATGAGAAAACAGATATGACCACGGCAGTATGTCATAGGTACCTCAAGCAGTCCCATTAACCCAGAGGATTGTAGGCTTTGAATACGGCTGACTACCCTTTCTGTACTGTACAAGTGAGATTATCATCTATATTATAAAATGTGCTGTATAACTGATATGTTCTGTTACAATGCTATGACCGATGTTACACTGTTGATGACATGTCTTATGGCAAGTTGTGCACCTTACAAAGCACAACAAAAATAAAGATTTAAAAAAAAAAAGAATACGCAAAGGAGATGAATGGAAGACAGCCTTCAATACAAGATATGGTCATTACGAATATACAGTGATGTCTTTTGGGCTATGTAATGCACTGGCTGTCTTCCAGGATCTCATAAACAATGTCTTGAGGTATTTTTTGCATGAATGTATGATTGAGTATAGAAATGCCTTTTCGATCTAAAGCAAATCAGTTTCTTGGTTTATGTGATATCCAAGGAAGGCTTTTCAATGGATCCTAAGAAATTGGAATCCATATTGCATTGGCCACTACCTAATGGGCTTAAAGCCATACAAAGGTTTATTGGTTTCTCTAACTATTATAGGAGGTTAATCAAAGGTTTTCTTCTATTATAGCCCCAATAACTTCTATGACTAAGAAAATTGGAGATTTCAAAAACTGGAAGCCTGAAGCTATAAAGGCCTTTGAATCTTTGAAATCGTTCTTTTCCTCTGCCCCGATTCTAGTCCATCCTGATCCTATCCTACTCTATTTGCTCAACGTTAAAGCTTCTGAAACAGGGTTAGGAGCAGTATTATCTCAGAGGAAGAATCCTGATCAACCTTTACATCCTTGTGGGTCCTACTCTAAGAAACTAACAGAAACTGAATGAAGGTATGAAATAGGCGATAGGGAACTGTTGGCCATCATCCAAGCATTGAAAGAATTAGGTACGATACTTACCGATCATAAAAACCTGGCTTACTTGGGGGAGGCAAGCACGCTGGTCTATTTTCCTGTCAGGATTCAACTATATTTTAACTTATAGACCAGTAAAAAAAAATACTAAGGCTGATGCTCTATCACGCCAATATGAACCTCAAGCAGGTCTTATAACAGATTTGTCAACTGTTATACCAAACTCTCACATTATAGCACATACAAGTCTCATTATACATTCTGCAATTGTTGATGACATAATCTCGAAACAGAATTAAGCCCCCGACTCAACTCCTCTTGATAGATTATACGTTCCTTCTGAACATCAACCTATCATCATGACAGTAAAACTGCTGATCATCCTTGTATAAGGAAAACACAGAGTATTGGTGGCCCTCCTTGGAAAGATGTTAAGGACTATATTCTGGCATGCGATACCTGTTATAGGAATAAACAACCCGACACACTTCCGTGTGGGTTATTACAACCTTTAGAAATACCAAATAAACCTTGGGTTAACATAGCAATTGATTTTGCTGTGGAATAACCATATCTAGTAAGAAAACTGTTATATTGACTGTAATAGACAGGTTTTCCAAAATGGCACACTTTTTACCGCTTATGAAGTTACTTTCTTCACCTCAATGAGCCAACATCTTCGCTAAAGAAGTCTTTAGATTGCATGGCATCCCGAGGGAAATATCAGATAGGGGTTCCCAATTTGTCTCCCGATTTTGGAGAGCATTCTGTGTTCAATTGGGAATTAAGCTCTGTTTTTCATCTGCTTATCATCCTCAATCCAATGGAGCGGCTGAACGTACCAACCAAATGCTCAAACAATATTTGAGATGATTTGTATCAGAGCATCAAGACAATTGTGTTGAATTGATTCCATGGGCTGAATTAATCCATACCAATCTCATATGTGAAGCAGAAGCAGTGGCGTACATATAGGGGTCGCAGTGGCGTTGGACCCCTGCGACCGGGTACCAGCCACCATGTTTTGCGGCCCCGGCCTGCGCGACAAACTGCCGGGGCCACCATTCAAGGGGTCCATCGGGTGGCCCATGCTGTTAGGGCCACCCGATGGAAGTGAATTTTCAGGGGCTTTAACAGCGCAACCGGGCCCCCTGTGATGAGATCACACGCTGGGAGGAAGTCACTGCCCCGGTCACTCCTCCCAGTATACACAGAGCATGCACGGGAGAAAGCAGAGGAGGCAGTCAGAGTGGGAACTCTGACTCCCATCAACCTGAGCCACCACTGTACCCCTGGGAAAGTCACCCTCCTGCACTAATAGGTAAGGGTGACTTAAACATTTTGTATATGTGTGTGTGTGTGTTTGTTTATATGTATGTGTGTATGTGTCTGTGTGTATTTGTCTGTATGTATGTGTATTTGTATGTGTGCCTGTCTGTATTTATGTTTGCCTGTCTGTATGTATGTGTGTCTGTCTGTCTGTATGTGTTTTGTGTGTTTATGTATGTGTGTCTGTCTATATGTGCCTGTCTGTATGTATGTGTGTCTTGTGTGTGTGTGTGTCTGTCTGTATGTGTCTGTGTGCCTGTATGTGTCCGTGTGTGTGTGTTTGTCTGTATGTTTGCCTGTCTGTTTGTATGTGTCTTTGTATGCATGTGTGTCTTGTGTGTGTGTCTGTATGTATGTGTCTTTGTGTATGTGTCTGTCTGTATGTGTGTGTGTCTGTCTGTATGTGTGCCTGTCTGTTTGTATGTATGTATGTATGTGTCTTTGTATGCATGTGTGTATGTCTGTCTGTATGTATGTTTCTGTCTGTATGTATGTATTTTTGCCTGCCTGTTTAGCCTATAAAAGGCAGCTTCACCCATAGTTCTTTGCCCTGTTGTGGTTCTACTTCCAGTTCCCAATAGTGCTTTGGAATCCTGACATGATCATATCAGCCAAGCAGGCAGATCAGGGGCCAGCAGCAGCAGACTGGAATAAGGATAAGATTTTACTATATTTAGGGGGGCAAGGGGAAGTCAGGGGGCTAGATTGTGTTTTAACACTATAGGGTCAGGAATACATGTTTGTGTTCCCGACCCTATAGTGTTACTTTAATCTATATCACTGTCAGTACAGGAGGATACGGCCCGGGCTCAATGTTCTCATTAATATGGATGAACACCCAGTGTCAGTACAAGAGGAGGCTACTACTCAGTGTGCTTATTAATATACATCAACATTCATTGTCAGTACAGGAGGCTGCTTAATATGCTCAGTAAAATAGATCAGTAGTGGATGAAATGAGGACAAAACAGGAGGAGAATGCTCAATGTGTTCATTAAGTATTCATGTGTCAGTAGAGGAGGTGGATTCTCAATGTGCCCATTAGTATGTATCATCACCTGAATGTCAATACAGAAGAATGCAACACAATGTGTTTATTAGTATGCATTAGCCATAATGATAGTATTGGAGGCTGCTCAACGTGCTCATTAATATGTATATGGCTCTAAGTTTAAGTACAGGAAGAGGCTGCTCAATCTGCTCATTAATAAAGATCAGTCCACAGTTCCAGTACAGAATGGGTTCGCTTATTGTCCTCAGGGTTATTCACTAAAGTGGGAATTCAAACAGATACGGAAGCATAGCGGAGAATGTTTCCGGTTCAGCTATTTTGAGACTTTACAGACTTTGTATTACTATCATCTAAGTTTTATTTATAAGACTATTTGTGATATTACAATTTTGGTCACATATTTCTTTTACCCCTATATTATTTTAAAGGGGGTTATTCAGTAAGCGCTGAAACTATCTGTACAAAATGTATCTTTAGAATTTGGGAAATTGTTTATCTGTTTTAGCAGCTAGTGACTATTGTGTACCTTCGGTACAGTTTTTTTTATGCACTTTGTCACTATTTAAATAGGTAATATAATTAGTAAGCTATTTTTTCTAATAGACTTTGTATTACAACGCAGCCAACTTTATTACTATCTCTTTGCGCTCTCTTGCTTGCATTTGTTGTATTCGTTTTCTTGTAAGAATTGCATTCAGCCATTAACAGCCCAGAAATCAAACTATTTGTGACACACTTTAAAGGGGCTACATTAGACCAGGTGGAAATCACCTGTCTGGACTAGGAGACAGCTAGTTTATTTACATTAAATTGTTTCCATGACTAATTTCCAACTTCGTTTCTGAACTACCAAACTAGACAATTCAGTTTATGATATAGGAATGGATTAATTTACATATATTCAGTTTTTTTTTGTTTTTTTTTAAATCATAGCAAATTCAAACCCAGATTAGCAAAATATAGGTAAAAAAAAGCCAGGATGTAAATAGAGTTCAGTTGGACAATTTCTTTACGTCTACTATTTTAGCCCAGATATTGTCATTTGGACATCAGTTCTCTACTCTTTGGAATTTAGTGAATACCTTGATTGTATGAGATCCTGTGATTTTTGGTGCAGAGATTTCATTGCATTACCACCAAACGTGCTAAATTTGAACTGCACATTCAAACAGGAGAATTTTGCATATTTGAAGCAATTCCTTACCTTCATGAATATTCACATGTAGTGTTATTCAGTAGAATAGGAACTGTGTAGAAGTGACAAATGCATTTCACATTTTAGGATAAAAACAAAACACTAAATATAAAAAATAGCAGCAGTGGAAGATTTATTTTGCAGTTTGGGTAATTTGTCCTGGATTTAAAATTCCCTGGCCCATTCCCCTTAGTTATTTCCCCCCTGCCAGTTACCAGCTAAAACACCATTAGACTAAGGTAACCAAGTTATAGCAATGAAGCAAGTGGAGAATGTTTACAAATTATTGAAATTCAATTTTTAATGCTGTTATGCCAGTCTCTGGATTGTGTTATTCTAGGTAGGCTTGTCGGTATTAGTTTAGTATAGGAGCTCTCTGTATTCGGTTATTGTGTTATTATTATTATTATTATTATTATTATTATTATTATTATCCCAGGCTCTGTGTTGGATTAGTTTCAGCTAATCGACTTGTTCGGCAGGCAGCCAGTAAACCTGCTCGATGTAACGTGATCGGCGTGCAGACATAGCACATTCCTATCGTGCCTCCAATCGGGAGCTCTCCGGTCACGTGACTGCCGTGACATCAGAGTCACTGTATCTGTATGGACCTGGCTGCTGCCCGCTCCATGGTGCTGGCGGAGACTGGCTGACCCGGAAGTGGCCGGTTTCGTTTCTTCGCTCTCTATCCGTAGGAACCGAAATTGAGTGCCGAGCGGTTGATTTACGGCTGATCTTTAGAACAAACCGAGCACCAGGCGGTGTGTACGGTGAGGGGCATACTGGCAGCTTGGTTAATTTAAAGGATTACAGTCATGGCACCGGATAGGGCGAGGGTGCAGTCAGTGAGCTGTCAATGGGCTACTAGGGGACATAATGGTAGCCTCCCATGGCATCAAGAGGGGGAGCTGGCCATTGGGTGGGGGTCATGGGGTTATAGTGTGGGGGCAGGGGGTCATGGGGTTATAGTGTGGGGGCAGGGGGTCATGGGGTTATAGTGGGTGCAGGGGTATGTAAACATACAGGGGAGGGGAGCTGGCCATTTGGTGGGGGTCATGGGGTTATAGTGTAGGGGGGGGGGTTATAGTGTGGGGCAGGGGTCATGGGGTTATAGTGGGGGTATGTAAACATACAGGGAGGGGCTGGCCATTTGGTGGGGGTCATGGGGTTATAGTGTGGGGGCAGGGGTCATGGGGTTATAGTGGGGGGTAGGGGATATGTAAACATTCAGAGAGGGGGAGCTGGCCATTGGGTGGGGGGGTCATGGGGTTATAGTTGGGGGGCAGGGGGTATGTAAACACTAGAGAGGGGGAGCTGGCCATTGGGTGGTGGTCATGGGGTTATAGTGGGATGGTTTGTAAACATACAGGGAGGTAGAGCTGGCCATTGGGTGGGGGGGTCCTGGGGTCTACCCGGCCCCCAATTTTGTGGTAATTGATCAGTTTATATGTTAGCATGTCTATCTATCCCCCTCTTATAACCCCAACCTCCCTCATTAGTGCTATTCATTTCTCTCTAGTGGTTACAGTGTATATTCAGCAGACTAGAATTTGCTTGTTTTAAAACCTTTTTTAAACTCAGTATCAGTGTTCTGGTTTATTCTTCATATTATGTCATTCCACAGTAACGTGAAAAAGGAAGCAAGAGCTCACACAACTTTGAACAAGAGGTGAACTTGCAAACCCCTTTTGTTATTGTTGTATTTTGTTTCTGAGTAAAGCGAATATGGGAAAGTACCTAGGTCAAGTTCTCCTTGCAGCCTTTTGCTGGAGAGACTTCCCGATGGCCAAGCTGAGGTGGTGACATGGAGGGGTGTCTGCACTGCCATTGGTCAACTCTTGCCAGCATGCTGATGACATACACCTAATATGCACAGAAAGACATTAGCTAGGTGGAGCCAGACTTCCGGCAGCAAGACACTTTTTACTCTGTATGTGCAGCATTTCTTATTGAATCCATGCACCACATCCACTAATCACTGAAGAGGTCATGGTGCTTGGTGTAACTCTTCAATAAAATTTGAGCTCGTTTTCAGGAAGTGTGTAGGGAGGCTGTAGGTTTATTTGCGAAGTATAAAAACTGATCTCTCTAATTTCCTGCCTTTATGTGTGGCAATAAGGTGTCTTGTCACCTAGCCATTTCTTACTTCCTCATTTATATATTTATATAATCTGTAGTTTATATATAGTTTAGGTACTTTTCTGAATGTTGAAAGACCAGTTTGATTTGTGTTGACTTTTTTCTTTTTTTTTTTTTAACTGTTTGGTTTCAAATTCTATCAGCTTCTTTAAAATTTTGCAGTAAACAATCTTCGATAAAAATATTTAGCTTTCAGTTTTAGCATTGCTCCTTAGTGTGTTGACTTAAAATGTATTTGTCATCTTCAAATGTTTTTAAGTTAGTTGGTAGTGCCTACACTGGTTTATATGCTAAAGTGTGAACTGTTGGAAAATATAACAAGATAATTGATTAAACACAAAATAAATTCAAATGGAAAAACTGATGCAAAAATAGCTGATCTGAAGAAAATCTTAATTTCTGCCATAGTCACAGTTTTTACATTTGCATTGGTTCTGTTTTTTTTCCCAAAAATTCAAAGTTTAATGATTGCCACATTTTAGAACAAAATAGTAACACTGAAAACATCAGTTGAAGGTATATTTTCTCAGTTTAGTAGGTTGGCTAGAAATATGAAATTTCACTTTTAGTTCATGACCATACCCTTTAGTAAATAATACTGGAAAAACTATCTTTATCAGGTGTGGTTCTCCCCTGTATATAATGCTTGGCATGTTTTAATATCCGTAAAAATGTTTTCTGAGCCTGGAGAATATTGTCAGCAAGTATCTGACACTTGTTTCCTGATTATCTGCTGATCTGTGTAAAATTTTGTTTACAAAACCAGGAATTGTAGAAAATGTGTGGCCACCAACTTGCACCGTAACCACTACAGGGGTACATTAGAATCGGCATGATTGAACTTGGTAACAGCTGCTAATGAGCTCTTAGCAATGTAGCAATGTCTAAAGTTAAATTAACTTCCTTTTGGAGGAAACAATTTTCTTAAAATGTATTCATGCTTTATCTCTCTGTCCTGTTTAGATCACATGCAGGATGTCTGCAGGGACACCAACTTCTGCCATCTACAGCCCCAGCACTGCTCCAACTGCTGTATCTTACGTGACATCTGTACATCCAACCTCTAGTCATGTTATCAACAGCACCAACATCACTATTCCACACACGTGTCTTGTCATCCTGTACGAAGATATCGGGACATCTAGGTATGGAACTCGATCACTGCCTTGGGATTAGCTTGTCACGTGGAGGCAAAGAAGGTCACACAATTTTACTATAGTCCAAAATATATGTGATTTATTAATATTAAAATACATTTATAAACTATACACTGCATTATAGTTTAATTCTTGTTAGTTATTGACACTCTAACAGCTGGCCAAAAACGGTTAATTATGTTGGCACCATAACAAACTCACAGTTTCGATACTCTCCAACAGCACTTTTTCCATGATCAGCTTTGAGAAAAAGAGCCCCATACCCAACATTAAAACAGTCAGGATTTCATTATCACAATCCTTCTGAAGAAGATATCAATACTATATCAACTGAGCCATTGGATATTAAGAAAATGTATCATAAAAAATATCTTGAGAAATCAAGAGTTATTAAACTCACTGCTGGAAATTCAAAGGGGTCAAACTGGCTGGTCAGGTCTTTCATAGTACATAGTTGAAAAGAGACTTGCATCCATCAAATTCAGCCTTCCTCACATATGTTTTTGCTGTTGATCCAAAAGAGGCAAAACACCCAGTCTGAAGCACTTTCAATTTTGCAACAAACTAAAAAAATAAAATTCTTTCTTGACCCAAAAATGGCAGTCCGATATCTCCTTGGATCAAGCAGCTATTACCCCACTAATTAGTTTGTTTTTGCAAGTATTTATCGAATTTCTGTTTAAACATCTCTGTGGACTCTGATTAAACCACACTTTCAGGCAGATAATTCCATATCCTTATTGTTCTTACTGTAAAACAAAACCTTTTCTTTGCCTTGGACTAAATGTTCTTTCTTCCAGCCTATATGTGTGACATTGTGTCCTATGTATAGCCCTGTTTATGAATAGATTTCCAGATAATGGTTTGCACTGGCCCCAAATATATTTGTATAATGTTATCATATCCCCTGTGACGGGCCGTTTTTCTAAACTAAAGGGATCTAATTTTTTAACCTTTCTTAATAACTAAAATGCTCCATTCCTTTAATCTATTTTGTAGCTTGTCTCTGCACTTTTTTAGTGACATGATATCCTTCGTTAGAACAGTTGCCAAAAATTGCACAGAATATTCAAGATGTGGTCTTACCAGCAATTTATAAAGAGGCCAAATTATGTTTCCATCCCGAGAATTTATGCCCCTGTTTATACATGACAAAACCTTACTGGCCTTAGCAACTGCAGATTGACATTGCATATTGCTGCCTAATTTGTTTTCCATAACAATTCCCAAATCCTTCCCGTGTGTGGTATCCCTAATTCACTACCATTTAGGGTGTAAGTAGCTTGTGCATTCTTTACCCCGAAGTGCATAACTTTGCGTTTCTCTACATTCAATTTAATCTGCCATTTTAGTACCCAGTCCCCCAGTGTATCTAAATGCCACTGCATCAAAACAATAGCCTTCTCATATTTTATTGCTGTACAAAGTTTTGTGTCATCTGCAAACACTAAACAAGGCTTTCTATACCTATTTCAAGATCATTTATAAATATGTTAAATAGAAGAGGTCCCAAAACAGAACCCTGATGGACACCACTTTTGTCCAGCTTGAAAATTTACCATTGATGACAACTTGTAATCTATCCTTAAAGGACCATTATAGTGCCCGCTGGGCTCTAGGTAGTGGAAGGTGTTAAACTTACCTCTTTTCCAGCGCCGGGCGGGGGACTCTCCTCCTACTCTCCTCCTCGGCTGAATGCGCATGCACGGCACGTCCTATGGACGCTGGCGTCTTCTCACTGTGAAAATCACATTGGGAAGCGCCTCTAGCGGCTGTCAATGAGACAGCCACTAGATGCTGGATTAACCCTATTATAAACATAGCACTTTCTCTGAAACTGCTATGTTTATAGAAAAAAGGGTAATCCTAGGTGGACCTGGCACCCAGACCACTTCATTAAGCTGAAGTGGTCTGGGTGCCTATAGTGGTCCTTTAATCCAATATTCTAGCCATGAGCAAGAATATTCATCTAGACCAATTTCTTTTAGTTTGAAGACTAACCTATTGTGAGGAACCGTATCAAATGCCTTGGTAAAATCCAAGTAGATCACATTCACTGCAACACCCTGATCTATACTTCTACTTACTTGTTGCAGATTGCAATTAGGTTAGTTTGACATGACCTATGTTTCATAAAACAATGCTGATTATTGCTAATAACAAAGTTCTTCCCAATGAATTCCTGAATATTATCCCTTAATAGCCTTTCAAATACTTTCCCAGTCACAGACGTTAAACTCACAGAGCTATAATTTCCAGGCAAGGATTTTGAACCCTTTTTAAATATAGGAACACCATCTGCCTTTCTCCAATCCTCTGGTACAATTCCTGAAACAAAAGAATCTTGAAAGATTTTGGTCCATTTGTTTGTATGTTAAAAGGACACTAAAGGCACCAAAACAACTTTGGCTTAGTGAATCAGTTTTTGTGTGTAGATCATGCCTTTTCACTGCTCAATTTACTGCCATTTAGGAGTTAAATCACTTTTGTTTATGTTTATGCAGCCCTAGCCACACCTCTTCTGGCTGTGACTGACGCAGCCTGCATGAAAACAAAATGGTTTCACTTTCAATCAGATGTTACTTACTTTAAAAGATTTTTTTTTCTCCTGCTCTGTAAATGGAACTTTAATTGTATACAGGAGCAAGCTATTAACAGAGCAGGAGACTTGAAATTCTAAATAAGAGAGTATGCAATAAAGGAAGTATATTCATTAGATGAACCAGATAGGACCTCTAGTAGCCATCTGAGTGACTGCCACCAGAGATGTCTCTAGGGAGCAATGTAAACACTGCCTTTTTGTCTGAAAGTGTTTACAGCAAAATGCTTGCAGCGACTGACTATAATCCCCAGAACAACTACATTAAGCTGTGAATGTTCTGGTGACTATAGTAACTAATTAATTGGAGGTCCCTGGTGCTGGGTTACCTTTAGGGGTTAAACTGTTCACGAATGGTTTAACCCCAAAGTCTGCTCTCCAGTACGGTTTTGCTCTGCCCCGTCTTTCCTCTGCTTTCAGATTTTTCAAACCGTAATCCTTGGACTGCTGCGAATAGGAGCACCCTTGATTGGCTGAGAGCATCAGCTGATGCTCCAAGTCAGTCAGTAGCTTTCCATTCATAAAAACAGCTTGAGAAAAATATGTACGTTTCTCAAGCAGTTTTGTGGATGGTTTAACCCCCTAAAAATTAAGCTGGCAACAGGACCTCGTAGCATAAAAACTTTATTCCAATTAAGTAGCTATTGTTCCCTGAAGTTCCTTTTAACCACTATGCCCTTGAAGTCTAAATTTGAATCCCGCTGGTTTTATACTACAACTCCCATTATTCTGTGCCAGTTCAGCGAGGACTTTTTTATCATTCTTGCCAACCTATAATCGATAAAAATGTCCAGGGAGTGCCATGATTAGCTTGGATTTCACAGGAATAAGGAATTGTGAAAACGAAGTCTTGGCTGAAACTTGTCAGATCGTCTTATTGCGATTTGCCAAAGAACGTTGATAAGAGTAATGATTGGTTTGGTAAGAATGACAGTTACACAATTACATTTTCTTCCAAAGTACAAGGATGAAGAAAGCTCTAGATTTTATACAGACTGACACTTTCACTGAAACAGATTAGTTACCCTTGGGGATAGATATTAAAATAAACATAGGATTTATACCATCACTTTAAAAGTTTTTATTTATTTATTTATTTATTTTTTTTAAATTCTTTATTTTTATTTATGTTGTGCACAAATATAACATTATGCCTGTGCAGCCACAACAGCTGGCACAAGCAATCCTTTTACTTCATAACAAACAGATATTATAGGTAAAGCAATGAGAGTAATGTGTCCAGTTTTAGTCTATGGTAGCAGGAAGGAGCACACGGTGTCAAGACAAGTTGGTCTTGGAGTCCCTATTGTAGTGGCCGTCTAGGTGTGTTAGGCATATTACTGCTCCGATCATGGGTGATGTTATGTAGTCCAGCTATCAGTGGACTTATCGATGGGTCTGTGGACTGTCATTATGGTGCAGCGGGGACTAGGCTCCGAGGTGGCTAGTGGAAGGATGTACCCCTGTGATTTGGGAGAATATGTGTCAGTGTGGCCTGTTAACCCGCCTGTAGGGTGTGTGTTTAGGTGCGTGGGTATCCATGTCCCTAATATGTCCGTTCGTGGCCTGTCAAGTCCTCCGTCAGAGAGGGTGGCCCATAGCCTGGTCTTATGAGTAAGGGATTGTCGGTGTGTCCGGCTAGGTTCTGGGGACCCCTGAGTGATTGTGTGCCTCAAGTGCTAGCGCATTTGTGTTGACTTTAAAAGTTTTTGTTACCATGTTAACACATTGTGTTTATTCATTGAGGTAAGAACTGTTGACTATAGACCAAGGTATTACAAAGTTTAGCCACATAGCAGCACCGATTCTGCTGGTTTTTCAGACTCCAAATTTGCAATTCCATTTAGTACATAACCCCTATATATGTGACAATGTGATATGACATGCATTGGTCCGGTATCTCATGGTGTGCATTAACTGGCTTAAATTCCTTTTGATATTAGAATATTTTTACATTTTCTTTATTTTATAAACTTTTCTGTGTGCTTCATGTGTGTGGAATGTCATTTCATTCAATTCTCAAGGTTTCAGATCCCTGTTTTACTGTTAGTAAAATTTCCCTGATGTGTAAAAGTTTCTATATTGAACAGCAGGCTTTAAAGTTCCCTTTTAAAAAAAAACAAAACAAAAAACACCATGTTTACAAGTCAGGATGCAGTTGTTTCCTATTTTTATATAAATGCCTCATGTTGCTCTTTTCCACAGGGTCAGATACTGGGACCTAATGCTTCTTATCCCGAATGTTCTCTTCTTCGCATTTTTGCTTTGGAAGCTGCCGTCTGCAAGGGCTAAAATACGCGTTACATCTAGTCCAATATTTACTACTTTCTACATCCTGGTGAGTCTGTTCCCGACAGAGTGTGTTTTCTTATCTGTCATTATCCAATATTTAAAGGGAAATGCATCTCTTTGAGACAACAGTCTCATTCAAAGGCTTTGCCTTTGAATAGGACAATTGTGTTATTCTGCATGCAGAAAAAAAACAAGCATTTTCCATTGGGGGGGAGGAGAGAGGTTGATACTGATGTCATCCAATCAGTGTCCAATGCCTATGAAGCGTTAAAAAACACTTTGTGTAAGTTTAACTTGACCTTGCATGTGCTATTGAACAATCTTGTAATGTTGCAAGATCTTTTGGGACGTGCCGGCTGTGAACGTGCATTCATGATTGGCTCTTCCCCTAGACTTTGGGCTTTCCTTAGATTACTCTGGCCTCCTAGGAGAGGATCAAAGGTTCTTGCACAGAGACCAACTCATGATCATCTCCATGCAACCCCTTATATTTAGTTAAAAGGGAACAGGGATGCAATTATTTTACTTTAAACACAAAGTAGAACTAAACTACTAAAACAATTTCTTAACACAATTACAGAAACAATATGAACCACATTAAAAAATGTGCATTACAATTGCATATACAATTTGTGTAATATAACCTGATAAGATCAACAATATCCACTAAAAAGCTTTCAGAATTTCTATAATATAAGAATTAAAATACACAATAAAAGGACTAGGATGAAACGTGTTGGATACATATACTTTTGACATAGACTTTTTGTTAATTCTGCTTTGTATGTTGTATTACACTATGTGTATTTTATTTCTATTATTATAGAAATTCTGAAAGCACGTTATAGGATATTGTTCTTCGATCTTATCAGGTTATGTTACACCAATTGTATATGTGATTGTGTATTCCTCACATATTTTGTGTTTCATTTTATGTATATTGGGTGGGTTTATGAGGTACACCCGGGAGAGTACTTTCACATATATCTTACATATATTCACTATTCCGGGGTATCTTGTTGTTTCACTATATGCATCACGATTACCCACGTAATTGCACTACAAAAGGGTGGAGCATACAAGATTCCCTCCACAGCAGTTACTCCCTGAACTTCACAGAATTTCTGCGGTGTGAACAAAGTGCAGTATGTAACACTTGCTGTTTACTATCAACATGAGTAAAAATGTTTACTCCAAAAAGCTATCTTAGAGACCAACTCAGGAAGTAATGCAGGAGGAGGTCCGGACAGAGTAATGCGTGATTCTCTCTTGCGCTTTTGTTGCTGTAGTGAGAGGTGACATCTTCACCTGGCCATGTCTGCTTTCACTGGGAGATATCAGATTGATTACGTACTCATACAGAAGTAGGAGGGTTATATATTTACTTATTAGTTTCAGTCATTTAAGATACCACATATTTCCTTTAAGGACACTTACAATGAATTGAATTCAGTCCTGTAGAAAACCTTTTCCAAAATTGGCTTGAAAGGTGTATATAATATGATATCAAGAGGCTACGCTCACCTGAACATGCATACATTATAGGGTGCTGCTGGGGCCAATTCATACAACATACAAGAACCAGCAAACTCACTCATCCACTAAACAGCAATTTCAAAGCCCATAGAATGTAATATATATTTTTTTTTTTTAACACCTAACCTAGGCGAAAATAAAAGGGGGTTTAGTTACATTATGTGTTTTTTTTTTTTTTTAATTAATTATTTTTTTATTCTAGGTGTTCGTGGTAGCGCTTGTAGGAATTACTCGAGCTATTGTCTCAATGACAGTCAGCTCTTCAAGTGTGGCCACTATCATTGATAAGGTGAGAGTTGAACATCTTTTCTTTCATAGCCCCCTTCCTACATAATTTACCATTTGCAGAGCCTGAACATGGGCATTATTAAAAGCATAAGGCCTCTGTTAACTCCTGTAATTGCAATGTGGCAAGATCTTAACTACTTCTTTGAGTATCATGGCCTCTATTTAAAGGCACATTATAGTCACCATAACAACTACAGCTTAATGTAGTTGTTCTGGTGAGTATAATCATTATATGCAAGCATTTTTATGCAACATTGCCTTTTTTGAGAAGAGATGGCCTCTGGAGGTGCTTCCTGGCTCAGTGCTGCACAGCAGGCAGCACTGCCGTTCAGCATCTCCACGCTCTGCATGAGGATGCTGAATTTTCCTCAAAGAGATGCATTGATTCAATGCATCTCTATGAGGAGGTGCTGACTGGTTGCTGTTTTTATCCAATCCAATGCATTGGATTGGCTAAAAAGAGGCAATTCTGATAATGTGACCAAGGGGGCAGAGTCAGCGCCCGCGGAGTCACCCGGCGCTGGAAATAAGGTAAGTTTTAATTCCTTTTAAGGGGGGCAAGCCACCTAAATGGTGGGTTTTGCACTTTAAGGTCAGGAATACATGGTTGTGTTCCTTTAATATTTTTTGGATAAGCTTTTTTTTTTTTTCCTCCTCTCTCCCCCCCTCTGCCAGGTCCCTCTAGGATTAACCCTTTCTGCTATGTTTACAAATGTGTTAATCCAGCCTCTAGTGGCGGTCTCATTGACAGCTGCTAGAGGCGCTTCTCACTGTGATTTTGACAGTGAGAAGACGCAAGCGTCCATTGAAAATGCTTTCCTATGATACTGGCTGAATGTGCGTGCGGCTTTCGGTCTGGGTGCCAGGTCACTCTAGGATTAACCCTTTCTGCTGTGTTTACAAATGGATTAATCCAGCCTCTAGTGGCTGTCTCGTTGACAGCCGCTAGAGGCGCTTCTCACTGTGATTTTTCACAGAATGCTTTCCTATGAGACTGGCTGAATGCCGCGCATGCATCCGATGACGGGAAAGGAGGAGAGTCCCCAGCGCCGAGGGAGCCCGGCGCTGGAAAAAGGGTAAGGGATTAACCCCTTCCTCCCCCTTCAGCCCGACGGGAGGAGGACCCTGAGGGTGAGGGGGACCCAACGAGCCAATAGAACCAGGAAAATGAGTGTTTTCCTGGCACTATAGTGGTCCTTTAATATTTTGAAAAAAAATATTTTTAAAAGAATCATAAAAATTGTGACTTGGCCTGAAACAAATCCTAAATGTATCTTGTGCTAAGGGAAGTGCTACAGTTTTCAGCCCTGGTCAGTGGACAGATGGTAAATGTAACTGCCGTACACCACAATCTCTGTCTCATTTTATATAGAGCTCTGTGACTGTGGAATAGCATTCCAGAAAGTTTCACACCTTTACTTGACTAGCATGTGTGAAAAAAAGGTCTCTTTGTATACACATTTGAACAATAATAGCTACTATTTTGTTATTTGATTAGTAAATATTTGTAAACTGGAGCATTGTTCTGTTCTGCACTGATTAACACTTTTCTCTGATTTTTAACTTTCACAGGTTCTCTGGGAAATCACCAGGTTTTTCCTCCTTGCCATTGAGCTCAGTGTCATTATTCTGGGTCTTGCTTTTTGTAAGTTATCCTTTTTACACTCACTTGTGCTGCGTATGCTGGACCTTATATATACAAATAATTTGCAGCACACCAGTATTTATTTGTGTCCATAAAGTTTGGTTCTCACTGCACTTTGATAAATATTATACATCAAATGCCTTATTACATAATTAAAATAACCATGCAGTGCAGGGATCACTGTAAGGATGAAAAAAAAATATTTTCCTTGAATTCTTGCTGATATGCACCCGTATTGAAGTTGCAAAGATAGTAAAATATTTTTCCCATCAGTCTTATAGTCTGAGACCGTGCAGCAATTCTTCACTGCTCCTTAAAGTAAAACTTGAACTATAAAAATATAATTTTTAAAGTTAAATGTTCTACTGTCCCATTTTACATTGAGCTCCATTTCGTCCTTTTAAATAAAATGTGAAGCAAACAAACAAATGCCAAATGCACCTCTCTGCTTTCTGTGAAATCATTAGTACTGATCTTTGTCCAGGCCATATAGGTGAGCATCAGCGACCTATGGCAAGTGCATGGCCTGGTGCTTCTCAGCCTATGAGCACCAATATTGGTGTTTGGCATCACTGTGTATGATGATGCCTAACATGAAGAAATTTAGCTATACGGTGGTCTTCAGTGGCATGTTTTCATGACAGAGGGTAGGGGTGGGGTTTTAGACAAATGTAAAGATTGCCATTTCCCAGGAAACAGCAATGTTTTACATGGTCTTAAAAAAAGGGACAAGGTCTGTACATGCAAGAGTACTTTTGTTAAGATGAAGTGGTTATGTTGCTTACTGTCCCTTTAAGCAAGAGGCATGTAATCAAGAGAGGGACCCTGAACATAAAATTTCCTGATCATTACATACAACTCAGTACTCACCTCCCCAACTCACCTGATCAGTGGAAAGTATGCACTTATGATTTTAAAATGTGCCAGGGCTGCAATAAAATTACTTTAAAAATTAAGCTAGAAGTTGGGGGGGAGGGGAGGAATTTTGCTGCACTTTAAGCATAAAAGTGTAACATTAAACAAGCTTATGGTGTACATCAAAAAAAGAGAAAATTCTGTCTTTATCTATGTTTGCATTTCTGGCATGTGCACTTATGTTAAAAGACACCATAGTCGCTGCCAATAGCAGTGCCAATATCCTTCTTTAAAAAAACACAGAGCTTTGTGTGGGCAGGTAAACAATCCAGAGTAGCCATGAAACAATTATACAGAAGCTATGCTGAGGGAGGCATGGGGGTCCCTGACCTCCTCCTATACCACAGAGCGGCAGTGCTGGCACCACTGACACAGGCAGATACGACTCAAAACCGCCCACAATGGGTCTCAATTGAGGAAAGGTTTTTAGACACACCGCTGGCAACAATGTGTTGGATTCCCCAGGAACATAGGCCCAAAGCACCTGGCTTACTGCCTATCACGCAGTTTATGATACAAACATGGGACAAACACCATCTAATATGGACACAGAAAATACCTAAAGCCGCCCCAGTATCTGTTCTACCGTCCCAATGCGGGGACAGCTATCCATGTGCTACCAGGCACTAAATCAACACCAACCCTTTGGACAATGCCAGTATGCAGTGGAGTGGGCTAGGAATTGTGGGGAGACCATTTCAGATTCACAGTGGGCAGTGATCCTGAGGGCATTGAAAGGGGTCACAAACTGCGCAGCACACATAGAATTACACAGAAATTTTTTACTGAGGTAGTACATGGTCCCGGCCAGACAAGCACGCATCTTCCAAGATGGCTCTCCTACATGCTGGAGATGTGGAAAACAGAAGGGCACGATGCTCCACATATGGTGGACATGCCCAGTCCTCCTGCCAATGTGGACTAAGATAAACGCCATGGTGGGGAACATTGCTAAAATAGCCATACCAAACAATCCCCTAAACTTACTGTTGCTATATCTGTCCTCTCAAATAGGATGGGATAACAAAGTGGTGACAACCCACGTCCTTCTTGCCACCCTTTACCTTATTGCGAGGCACTGGAAACAGACAAGACCTCCATCGATTAAAGACGTAATTGCCACAGTGGAAAAACAAACAAACAATATGAACTGACATATGCAGAATTCGAAGGGAGGAGAAAACAAAAGACGCTCACCTGGTTGGGGTGGGAACATTTTAGAGAGGGATATAGAGAAGGAGATGATACACAGACCGGAGGGAATGCCCTCTATGAAATGTGAGGCTGGATTGGTATAGAGAGTATGTAGTAAGTGGAGCTGAAATCATTTAAAGGGAAACCTGGACTCCTCAGTTGGTGCACCTGATACAGATTAGCAATTAAAACAAATGCCAGAGAGAAACGTTCCCCCCCCCCCCCAAACCCTCCACACCACCCCCAACTCATGGCGGGCGCTCCAGTACATAGGGTTTAATGTTTATGGTTCATTGTTGACTCCTAGATAATTACGAGAGGGAAGATGAGGAAGGGGGACATATGCGTGAATTACCTACTGCACATTGTTGAGACTGTATATAATAGAAAAATATACCATAGGAAATTGAATTGTAACCGACTGAAAACCTGTTATAGATAAATGTACAAAAGTCAAGTTTGTTCCCCTACATCCTTTTCTCTTCTGTATCCCCCATGGTTTCTAGTACCTATAAAAATAAAAATTGTCAAATTGAAGAAAAAAAAAAAAAAGACACTGTAGTCACCAGAACCACTTAACAGCTTAATGTAGTGGTTCTCGTGTCTATAACCTGTCCCTGCAGGCTTTTTAGTGTAAACACTGCCTTGTTTACATTGCTGCCTAGAAACACATCTAGTAGTAGTCACTGATACAGCCACTAGAGGTGCTTCCTAGTCCAGTACTGCACAGTGTCTCCACACTGCATGGAGATTATGGAGATGCTAAACGTTTCCCATAGAGATGTATTGATTCAATGCATCTCTTTGCGGAATTGCTGATTGGCGTTGTACCGCACATGTGCAATAGCCTCCCAATGCTTTTCGATGGGAAAGCATTGGTTTGGATGAGATCATCAAGGTCGATGATCTCAGCCATGAAGTTAAGACCAGCGTGGGAGAAAAGGCATGTGTTTTTATTTTTTTATTTTTTGTTTGTTTTAAACCTTTTCAGATCAATCTGAGGGGACTGGAGAGAAAAAAAAAGTTAGTTTAACACTACACTGTTATGAATACATGTTTGTATTTCTGACACTATAATGTTGCTTTAAGTATAGTTTCCTCCATTATGTCATTTTAAACATCAAAACAGCCATATTTAAAATGACACGCATCAAAATTGTTGTTTCTGCATTACTAAGAGTGCATCATCATTACATGCTGTTCATACGCATATGTCCAATAACTTGTTTCAGGGTGAATACATTTAAGAGTAGTTTTTACTCCACTTACACCCACTGTCTATGATTAGGATTATATTCTCTGGTTAGGTGTTACAGTCAACCTTTGAGTCCTGATGTTACTCCTTCCAAAGTGCATCCAATTTCCACATTTAGATTAGGGATTAATTGATGAGCGTTGGAGTGTAAATTTGGTTTTAGTTTGTTCTAAAATGTTTTTCAATTACGTCTCAAATCAAAAGTGACTTGCAAAACCTCAGTCTCTAATTATCCATTGCATTTTGTTTGCTAATAATATGGAATGAAATGTATGGTTTAGAGCTTCCCATTGAGTGTTTATCATGTGTTTCCTTCCTTCCAGGCCATCTTGAGAGTAATTCCAGTGTGAAGAGGGTTCTGGCAATCACTGCTGTTCTGTCTCTCGGGTATTCTGTGACACAGGTAAAATTGAGCTCATTCAAGGAGAACAGTATTGGTATTTCCAGATTGGTTCTCTGTGCACTACAACACTAAATGACTGGTGTTTTAGCAGAATAAATATTGTTGTTTTCTAAACATAAGATTAAGTTATTTTTGGCTTATCGTTAATTGGAACCTCTGGCTATAAGAGGGACTTTTGATATGTCTAGTTTGGGAATAGGTTTTTAAAGTATTTGTTTATTGTTTTTCCTTTCCTCTTTAGGCTTTTATAGACTTAGAGCATTAATTGATAGACTGCTTAAATGCTTGTGAGTCTATGATAGTCTTTTAGGAGCCAGAATAACACAGAGACATTAATAAAGCAGTTTTGCTTGGCCATCCTGTGACATCACCAAGGCAGATCAGTTTCATGCCGATCTTTTTAAAGTACCAAACAGAAGACTAGACGTACAACTAAATCCTTTCAGTGACTTATTTATCCAGGTTTATAATTTATTTATTTCTAGCAGGTGACGTTTCAGCTCACAATGCACCTTTCTCAAACCTATTTTGAGAAAGGCATATCGTGAGTCCAAATGTCAAATACCTACTTGTGCAAATAAAAAACAAACTTGTACTTGGTCTTCTGCCTCTGCTACATCATTAGTGAAGTTGTCTACCTCTGACATGTTTATGTGTGCATGCCTGCTTTACATATACCAAATCTTTTTAAGGTGCACCCATCATCCACAAAACAATGCGAATGACAGGGTCAACTTTAGTTAGTAGTACAAACTTGTTGAATAGGTATACTTAGTTAACATTTGTGTATCCATTATTTAAGGTGGCTGTCCAGAGGATGTAATTGGACTTGTGCATTCCATCCCAACTAAGGCTGTAGACAGCAATCCACAAGATTTAGTGGGCATGCAAACTAGAAATTGTGGGATGCGGGGCATAGCTATTTGGAGGCAGTATAATTTATTCATTCCTTCCCTTAAAACATTTTTAACAATTTCTCCATCACATTGTTTACACTTTGTTTTTTGTTTTTTTTTTGTTTGTTTTTTCCCCCAGGGAACTCTGGAAATCCTGTATCCTGATGCTCACCTCTCAGCCGAGGATTTTAACATATATGGACATGGTGGAAGGCATTTTTGGCTGGCAAGCTCATGTTTTTTCTTCCTAGTAAGTAGAGGTCACACTTGTTATGATCTGTTAACCAGCTGAGGATTGGAGAAAACTCTCAGGCAGTTGATTTGTCAAGTTCTGGAGATTTGAAGTTGGCCTGCTACTGTATCAGGGAAATATAAATGTTTGGGGAAAAGGTGGTATCTTTTTATTGTCCAAATAATTCTATTGATTTTCCTAGTGTTCAGGACACTTGAGTGCCTTCTCATAATGTACAAATAACAATGAAACCTCATCCTTTGTTTCTCCACTTTGTCTTGTGTGGGAGGCTTTATTAGTCTGTGTGCTAAGTCACCTAAACTTCATTATCTGGCTCTAGAAACAAGGTTTACAGTGTGTGAGTTGCTGTATTTCACCTTATTTTAAACGTTTTGAGATTGTAAGATAAAGCCAAGCAGGCCTTTTTTTTTATATAATTTATGTTATATATATATATATTTTATATAGATATCTGTAGATGATGCTAAAGATATTTGGTGTATGTAGATATTGTGTTAGTACTAGTGATGTCCCGAACGGTTTGCCGCGGACGGCGAACATAAACATAAACTTTGACCCTGTACCTCACAGTCAGCAGACACATTCCAGCCAATCAGCAGCAGACTCTCCCTCCCAGACCCTCCCACCTCCTGGACAGCTCACTAAGAATGCAGCTTCACAATGAATGTAAAATGGATGCTGTCCAGGAGGTGGGAGGGTCTGCTGCTGATTGGCTGGAATGTGTCTGCTGACTGTGAGGTACAGGGTCAAAGTTTGTTTATGTTCGCCGTCCGTGGCGAACCGTTCGGCGAACTGTTCGGGACATCACTAGTTAGCACATATGCACGCAAAAGTTATACCAAAATACAGCCCAATCATATGGAGAAACTACAGGCAGTGACTGCATGTCAGCCAGGAAACTATTTGTATCCATAATCTCTCTATCACAAACTTGACAGAATTTAAAAAAAAATAAATATATATATATATATATATATATATATATATATATATATATATATATGTTGAAAATTAAGTTTGCATTGACCTACAGCAAGAGAGCAGAATTTCGAGCCATAACCAACAATTTAAATTAACAAAGCTTTATAATCTCTTAACCTTTTTGTCAGTGTATGTGGTTAATATCTAACTTCCAATGTTACCAACAGGTGTATGCTCTTGTCTCTATACTACCAAAAACTCCACTGAAAGATCGCATCTCCCTGCCATGTAAGTTTTTTAAGCAATCATGGAAATGGGCTTCAGGGTTGAACCTGATGGACTTTAGTACTTTTTTTTCAGCATAGGCAAATATGTGACTTTTAAGGCTTTTTTTTCCCCTTTTACTAAAGTCACTAGTTGGAGTTTCTTGAAGTCACACAATCCTGGCATAGGTTTATTCAAACAACTTACTCATATATTTCCTTATTGTAATCTATTTGTATGTAAAACTGGAGCATGGATTAATTAACCAGCTTTAGCAGGCTAGAACCATCTAGTGGAGGGCAAGTGAGGTGGTTCTCCCATTGAAGCACAGTTCTGTTACTCTGTTTAATAGGGATGCAGCAAAATTTCAGCTGCCGGAAATGGGTAAAATTTGCTGAATTTAATTGTAAAAAATTTTTTATAGAGATTTTTTTTTTTTTTTTTTGTAGTGCATAGTTTAACAGACATACTTGCATTGACAATTCAGATGATTATATATCACAATGAAAGATAGTAGCGATAACATGAAAGTCAAGAATACTGTTTTGGGACGGGGGGTGGGGGAATACTAGGGGACAGGGGAGGGGGGAACACTAGGCTATTCGAAATACTGGCCAAAGCAAATTGAATGATTTTGTAAGCAGTGATGGGCAGCTGTGAGAGGCTGAGAGTTGGCAGCTGATGCTCTCACCAATTTCTCACACCCATTGCTGCTCACACTAATGCCAAATCTGAGCAGTGGGACCCTCATCCAGTCTTTAAAAAAACTAACTATATGAAGTGGTTATTATCCTTTTTATATGTTTGTTATGCAAAATTGTTTTGGTCATTGTCCTTTAGACAATAAAATTAGGATTTTTATTTCTTCCTCCTCCCAACTACAACTTTGTGACATAGAATATGATTATATAGTACAGGTAATTTTAAGTAAAACTAAGAAGTTAATTGATCATGGACGTTTAACAAGCCCTGGCAAATAAAACATATTCTAGAGGTAATTACCTTACCTTTGGGTAGAAGCTATATTTGTGGGATTTTGTATGTTTTGTAGCATTTTCCTGTTTTTTGTGCATTTTTTATTTTTTAAAATTCTTTTATTTTTGTTTATTATTAAACAATATGTTTGTTTTTTTGTTTTTTTTGCAGCCCGGAAAAGTTTTTATGTGTATGCTATCTTCCTGGCTGTCCTTAATTTGGTGCAAGGGATAGGCAGTGCCTTGCTTTGTGCAGACATCATAAATGGCTTGTGGTAAGTAGTGATTATCTTCACCGTCCTCCGTTATGGTATATCTTCTTATTGTTACAGTTTCTAAAAGAATAAGATGAATCTTCCTTAGAGTGGCACTAAACTAAAAACACATTTCTATATTCGGAAATGCTAGCTTCTAATGGCCCAAAATACATTTCTTATACCAAAAATATATCATGTGCTTATCTCCCCTAACAATCACTGCAAATTAATGTACAGATACCAAGGAAAATGGTATCTGTACAAGGACAAAAAACTCGTTGTGATTAATAGAGAATAATTCAAATGTAAGTTGTAGGGAATGATATGAAAAGGGAAAATAATAACCAAAGGATCCATTCTAACTTGGTTAAAAAACCAAACAGTCCATCAGAATTCAGGTACAGTTAATATTCTATACATATTATTTAGTAACCAGAATTTGTACAAATGAGGGGAAAATATATCTGCCTCAATTATGTTATTAAATGCTGACCTTCAATAGCAATACACATTTGACTTGTATAATAAAACTAAGGCCTTGTTTCTTTTTTTGGGCAGGTCTAGTTGTTACGATGTGCTTGCTCTTTGCTATAGATCGGTGAAGGTTGAGCTGTTTTTGCTATATAAACACCTTTCTGATTGTAACTTTCCCTTCTTTATAGTTTAGTGGATGTCACTACATTCCTGTACTTCAGCTTGTTTGCTCCGCTCATGTACGTGGCATTCCTGAAAAGTTTTTTTGGGTGAGTAACCAAAAATGTAGAATGCATCTTGCTTAATAACTATATTTTTTACGTTATAAGTATTGACTATCAATTCAGGATCGGTGACATTTGTTCCCTCACCCCAGTAAACAATATGGCAGCATGTGCTGGGGTTAATGAAGCAACAGTTGTTGGTTTAAAAAACAAAAAAACCTTTCCTTCAATGCACTTCTGCATTCTGAGCAACAGTCATCCCATGATCTGTTATCTACAGATAAATCTCATTCTAGGGCATTCACTTTCTGTGTGTTTTCTCTAGCAGTGTTGTGCGCGCTTGCAATTTCCATACGGCACTGTTAACTAATTTGCATCCTCTGCCTCTTTAAACAATCATCAAGCTTTGAGTAGTAATAATATAGGAATAAATAATTATTTCCCCATTGCAATATGCTATTTCTCACAAATCACATGAAATCCATGGTTCCATGCATCTGATGTGGTACATTACTCACCAAATATGTGATGTAGCTTTGAAGCCCACTGCTGGCCATCAAACCCTCCAAGGTTTTAGTTCACTTTTACATTATAAAGGATCTACTTGTAGTTTGTGTGTATGTATAAAATCACACATATATCTGACAGTGATTTTACTTTCTATGTGTGCATGATGCATTGTGGCTTTAGTGTCGATTTGATTTGCATAAGTACAGGTGCCTCTCTTGTGGCCGTGTACACTATTCCTGACTTTTATCTTCTCTTGTAGGTCAGAGCCAAAGATTCTTTTCTCCTATAAGTCCCAGGTGGACGAGCCGGATGAGTCTGATGTGCATCTTCCGCATCCCTATGCTGTAGCCAAGAAAGATGGTGTAGACACTGGATTCTATTCCAGCACTCAGATTGACACCACGGCCTACCTTGACGACGTAGCTTCTATGCCACATCTGGTTGGGAGCATCAACAGTGTTGACAGCGACCGATGGAAAGCTATAAACACCTAAGCTTCAACAGCTCTGCAGTGCTTTATGAGAGTGCAATCTTTTTGAAAAACATTATCCTGTTTTGGGTTTTCAAGAGCATAACAAAGGAAAGAGACCATGGCTGTAGTCCTCTTATGCAAATATTTTCTGAGGAAGACTTTTCCAAAAGCCTGCTCTTTATCTGCATTGTGAAAGGAAATGGCATCCTTATAAACAGCCCAAACGCTGCTATACCGTCTACTGTGCTGTCTGCTGTGTTGGTAAAAACACCACGTAGAGTCGTGTCACTGGATGGCCAGATCAGTTTGCTGCTCGAGCTGCGTCGCATTGCCGAAGTCTTTCAGTATCCTAAAGGGAAGCAATGCTTTGCAAAACTTTTTCAACCTCCCTTTAGCTCTGAAAGGGCTACAAAAAAATGTAAACAAAAAAAAAAAAGACAAAACACCATACGTAGATTATGTATTCTGGCTTACTGAGGACATCCATAGCATCACATCAGTCCAGCGAATCTTGGGGTGTTGTGGGATGGCAATCATCTTACATCCATAATTATCAGCAAGGCAAATGTTTTAATTTTGAATGTTAGACAGGCTTACCTATATCTTGAGATATATATATATAAAAATGTAATTCGGACTACAGAAGAAGAAAATATATACACACACTCTCAGATACATTGCAATGCGGATGCTAAACTGAAGCAATTGGAATAGTAAGGTGGGGCTAATATACTGTATACACAATAGACATGAGCTACATTCGTTTGGCTGCCTTTTATGGCAGTGCTAGTGATTGTCGGGCTACAGTGAGAATATCTGCCAGTGACTTTTCAGGAAAGATGCAGCTGGCTGTGTCTCATAGAGGCTGTCACTTAAATTTATATGGATTTATCATTGCGACAATTGTTAAATCTCAGATCTTAAGTATACATGAGGCATTCTAAATGCTATAAATTATTGTAAATCATCCCTGTGTTGAGTTATCAGTGTGTGAGATCACCTATATTTTTCCATTTTGGAATTTTTTTACTGAATTGCACAAATTATCCTGAAAAAAAACCAAGCTATGCAAACAGTCACATTGGACAGTTTGACAGATGTCCTAATTCAGCTATTTTTGTGTTCTGTTTTCAATTCTATACAATTTGGTGTTTAGTGAACAAATCCCTTTTAATGTTTAAAGTGCAATTTAATTGTGTAAGAACAAATATATATATATATATATATATATATATATATATATATATATATATATATATATATATATATATATATATTATTCATGAAGCAACAAATTCACATAAATTGTTATTTATAACAATGTGCAAAGTATCATTTTATGGCTCTACTAAATATGCTCTATTTTATTGCCTTGGCATTAGTTGCTGATTCAACAAACCTCCACTTAGCCACAGAAAGTAGGTTGTTCATTTTACTTTTCCCTCTCTCTCTCTCTCTTTTTTTTTTTTTTTTGTAACTTTTTTTCCTTTTCTTATTTTGGAAGTACAACTTAATAGATCATTTTCAGAGCACTGTTTATTTCTGCTTAACGTTACAGTGGTTAAAGGGACACTATATGCACCAAAACAGCTTTAGCTTAATAAAGCAGTTTTGGTGTATAGATCATGCCCCTGCATACCCACTGCTCAATTCTCTACCATTTAGGAGTTAAATCACTTTGTTTATGCCCTCTAGTCACACCTCCCTGCATGTGAATTACACTCCCTTACTAAACACTTCCTTTCTAAACCTCTACTATTTATACTAACTTGATTGCAAATTCCATTTCATTTATTCCAATTCCATTTCTTATCACCTGTACTGGTAGTAACTTACTAGACCCTGCAGGAGCCTCCTGTATGTAATTTAAGGTGCAACTGACAGAGCAGGAGATAAAAACATTTAAAGTAAATTTCCTCTGATTGAAACAGAAACAAAAGTGATTTACCTCCTAAATGGCAGAGAATTGAGCAATGAAATGGCAGAGATATGATCCATACACTAAAACTGCTTCATTAAGCTAAAGTTGTTTTGTTGACTATAGTGCCCTTTAACTCTTATCATATAATATTTTGTTTAATGGCGACTTTAAGTGACTATCTTTAGCCTTTCAGGTCAAGGGCCTGCTGTGGACTTGCTCTTTTTTTAGGGAAGAAATAGATTCTTCTAATCTGAGAACAAGGCTTCAGTCTCCCTGTAACACTAGGTTTTTTCCCAATAGTCCATGGGCCAGCTCTCAGTATGTAGGAGACTATCCTGTATGGAAAGATGAATGCCTGCCTCCACCTAGTGGACTATAGCTGACTGATCTAAAGTCTCACAGTTCATTGATGTGACATGTTAATTGCTGAAGACCCACATTTGGCCTCATCCGGGTGTACACTAGCAGTGATTCTAAAGTGAATAATACATATTTTATCATCTGCCAACTGAAAAAACAACTAGTTAACAGTTCTTATAGTGCTGGGGGTGTATACGGGGTACACTTGAAGACCACTATGTAATCTGCAACCATTTTAGCTTTGACTTGGATAAAGATCTTTGTAGCTTTATTGGTTCCATTGTACACCTCTAGATAATGCACCACTGTTTTACAGGTCATATAGCTAAGTAAGAGAGCTCTTGACATTATATTTTAGGCAGTATGATAGAATGAGTTTCCTGGCCATGTAAGTAGTCCAACTATTTAAGAATGGTTTGACTTTTTAAGTGTGGTTTGCTGGGTACGGTCTCCTGTCAAATCACAGCTGAAAGTGAGAGCTTGTGTGCTAAATCCTGCTGTGCAGGGCCAGCATATTGTGCCTGAAAGTGTAAGCTGATCTCTCAGCCAATGAGCTGAGCCCTGCACATCCTGGCTTAGCTCTGTGAAGAGAGATTACAGCAGCTATGAATAGGCAGGGATTGACACCTGGTGCATCCAGGTAAGGTGTCAAACTGTTAGCTTTTTTCTTTGACTAACTATATTGAAGGGGTGACCCAGAGCACTCATGGCACCATAAGCAATACTGTGTGCTGTAGTTGTTATGGTATTTGGAGTGTTCATTTAACAGATTTCACATACCTTTCATAGCCCTCTACAGAATTGAATGAATACAAAAGACCAAGGGAATCTTTGTGGTTTTTCCTTCTACCATCTAAAGTAGATTTTGACCTCAAGGGTCTTATTCAAGGCTAGGTTGGAAACCCTACACACAGGTATAAATAATTAATCATATGACAAACATATGGGCAATCAGTTGCTGTAACTATGTGCTAATATCGATTTGTACTTTCCATGACATTTATGACATGTTAACCACCTCGTCTCATCTAGTCATAAATTAAGTAACCAATCCAGAGATTGAAGTCTGGTACATACAGGAGCATTCTGTGTAACTACAAAAAAAAAATAATAATTCAGAAAATATATGTGAAGTGCACTTGCATGTCATTGAGTCATATCGGATTAGAAATACAAGTTTATTATAAAAAAACTTTGCAAGTCCAGAGACACAATATGGGTCACATATGTATAATATTGCGTGATTAAGGAAAACAGAGTAAACAAAGCATAATTTCAGTTAAGACTATGGACTAATAAGGATAACGGAGGTTGGGTAAAAAAACCTATTCAGAGTACAAAAAAAATGAAAAACATATTACAGTGGTGCATTGTCAATGCATCCTGAAATTTTAACAAAAGGCACGCACACATCAATTTATAATATGTGAGTTGGAATTGTTTAATCATTTTGCGGACAAAAGTGATTTCCAAGCTGTTTTGCAAGTCCCACAGTTACCTCTTTACCTATATGACTGTGAACCTTTAAACCTTTTCTTGGCAATTAAACTGATTGGCCACAGATGGATAAATCCTTCCTTCAGTCACATGGGCTGCTGGCTTCTGGGCATTGCTACTTGGCAACCGCTGGAAGAAATTTTGCAAATGTTATTAAAGAAAAATATTGTAAATTATGCAAATATCAAATGAGATTATGAACTTTTCTATTTCATCAATGTTTCACTTTTAAAACCAGGCTCAGTTTGTTTAGCGAAAAGCAAAGAATCACAGACATGCTGTGCAAAGAGAAATATAAATGTATGTGTGTGTAAAGAGATCTATATGAAATGTAAATACTATATTTTTATGGTTGTAAGGAAAAAAAATTTAAATAAAATAAATATGCTTTGAAGACTCAATTAAACAGTATTTTTAGACAATTGAACATTGTGTGTGTGTGTGTGTGTGTGTCTGATGGGGAAGCTTTACTATTTAAAAAAGGGGAGGGGAGGGGAGGGGGAGTTTAATTATTTTGAACTTGGGGCTTTAAATCCACCAGAGTAATACTTACCAGTTTCCAAATCCAAAAACGGGAACAGTGGTTAAATAAACCAATGTGCACTTTGTCTTGTGAGAGTAAAATGGATTAGCTCCCTGTACCTAGGGCAGTGATGGCGAACCTTTTTGAGCCCGAGTGCCCAAACCGTAATACATGCCAATTTTTTTCCCCCTCAAAGTGCCAAAACGGCAATTAAACCTGAATATTGAGGTTTAAGTTTAGAAAAAACAACTCATACAGTTGTCCGAACTAATTAACATCTGTGTGTGTATTAAGCAGTTTGTGTGTGTGCTCGGCAGTCTGTCTGTATGTGTATTTAGCAGACTGCTGAATACACACAGACTGATGAGTACACAGTCTGCTAAATACACACACACACACAGACTGCCGAGTACACACACACACACACACACACACACAGACTGCCGAGTGTACACACACACAGACTGCTAAATACACACACTGCATTGAGGGGTACAGTGTATGTGTTTGTGTGTGCGGTGATGTGTTTGTGTGGTGTGTGTGTGTGGGGTGATGTGTTTGTGTGGGGTGATATGTGTATGTCGTCCCCTCCCCACTGTTTTCTTTCCCCCATCCTCCCTCATTCCCCCATATCTCTCCCTCATTCCCCTATATCTCTCCTCAGTTTTCTCTCTCCCCATATTCTCCCTCAGTCCTATATTCTCCCCTCAGTCCCTCCCTA